GACATTATGATATTTGAGTTCTTCAAACTAAAAGTACAAAGAAGTAAAAAGGGAAAAAATCGGGAATTTGAAATTATATCAACTCAAAGGAATTTTGACTCGAACAATTTCGAGATGGTGAGTTACAACTATATATATTTTATGTCATTTTTTTTCTTTGTCAAGCTTTTAAGATACACAGATGTTTCGTAGGCAAAAAAGTTTTCTCATTTTGTTAGCCCAATTGTTTCTTCACAACAACAGAAATAGTACAATTTTCATTTTACAACTCAATTTCATTAAATAACACTAATATGAATTTACTTCTGTGGTAAACAGGAAACATTCAATAAACACTAGTACTACAAGCATGTACCAGTAATTTGTTGTTGTAAATTACTTCTTATAGTTCTCTGTTATGGTGGGTATTTAAATCTCCCTTTGTCTAAATATTCATCCTCCACCATTAAATAGTTCTTGTTTTTGTTTAGTATTCTTCTAACTGAATCTTTCTCTTGTGTCAAATTTAGCTTTCATGTGGCCAATATTCAGTGTAAATTTGGTACTGATTAAAAAACAAATAGCCAGCAGATGGCTAACTTGGCTTTCAGTCTGTTATTATTATTTCTTGTGTGGTACTCTAAGGATCTTTTTCAAACTTCATAGAAATATTTTACCTTGTTGGCTAATTGAGCCTGTACAGTTTGCTGGAAGTGTATTTTGACAATTCAAAATATGTGATTGCTACTTCTTGAAAAATTTACTGAAGATTTTTCTTAATTTTGTATAAAGGTTCATCTTATTGCCTATCTGCTTTTGTTTAATTTTGAGAGTAATTGATTGGGAAAGTGAAAATGTCTATCAGAAAGTTATCTTGGATTTTGGCATTTGAAGATTGCTATTGCTTTTGTCAGAGCACCGGATGTATTGAAATTTATGGGTAGTTTTTTGCCTTGTTGAGCAATTCACCTATCCATTTAAGGAACGGCAAAGATCAAGCTTACTAATACCAGTAATAAATACAGATGATATATATCTTAAACATTGCTTCTATCTGTTATGAATAATAAAATCCAATAAAAAAGGAAAGAAAATGTGGAGGAAAAGTTTCAATGCTGACTTACTGAAGAGGCTTAACAAAAATGCTATATGCCTTGTATATTGAAAATTGCCATCTTGTGGTGCATGACACACACATTTTCCATTTATGTGTATTTTGATATCCCCACAAACACAGCATTCCTACCTTTACCCTGCACCCTGATTATTGTCTGCAGTTTTGGTAGTGTCTGATTGTGATCTTGTGTACACTAACTTTAGGGACCGGAGTTATGTTTTTTCATATCCTTAAGATATAAAAAAGAAAGTCCAACTCATCTGGAGTAAATACTATAGACTGCAAGCCTTTGTGTATCATCATTTCTTTTTTTGTAGCATTTATGCAAAATATCATATGTTGTATACTGCATGTTATTACACTAAAACAAATATTTTGTGTATAATACATGTCTGTTTAAGGGTAGACATTTCTCTAGAGATATTTCATAACAGCATTTATAGAACTTATATGTTGGGTATCAAGCCCCTGTTCATGTTCAGAAACATTATGAATCAAAACAAAATCTTTCAAGTTAATTGATATTATTTTCTTGATGAAAGTTGAATTAAAATATGGTTGTATGTACCATATAGGCTTGTGTGATTTCTTCACATCATGTCATGTTGAATGCTTTTGTAATTATATATAAGTATAGCCGGATTAATAACATGTTCTTGGTAAATGAATTTTATCTTTTTTTTTCTTCTTTTTTTTTTTTCAATTTTTCAATTGTTTTAGCTGATACATAGAATTCCTCCTTTATTGAAAACACTCAAGTGTATCTCATTCTACATGCATCACCAAAAGAAACTGATGATAATAAAGAGGTAATTCTGACATCTAAGATATGTAATCCTTACAGTAGAGGAGGGCGGATGCTAGTAACTCAAAATTTGGAGAAATGCTTTGTAATAAGTTGTTTTTGTTTGCTTCTTCATATACAAGTTGCTATTGGACAAGTTTTGCACACATGAAGTGTTTTCCTGGCAGGAGAATTCTATGTATCACTTGTCACTGTGTGTAACCCATTATTATGACCATGTTTGTTGCACGCCCTACTTTTCCTATCACCTAGATAGTTTTTCTCCCACAGAACTAAGTGGATTTTAACTGAAAACAAGTCTTGATGTCCTATCTCCATAACATCAAAGGACAACACAATTCTCGGTCTTTCTTGAAGGGGTATAAAATTCTACCATTTTTCAATAATGGCAGATATGTAACTACCCTGTGTTGCTAAGGTTTAAACATTTTGGGTAGAGGGAGCTGTCCACAAAGGGAAAAATGTGTAACAATGGTTGGTTGGGGAGGTTTCCACAGAGATAAGAAATGTGTAGATGACTTTTAACTGTGATTGGTTGGGGAGAGAGGGGATGCTCACAATGGGAAGAAATGTGTAGATGACCTTTAACTGTGATTGGTTGGGGAGAGGAGGGATGCTCACAATGGGAAGAAATGTGTAGATGACCTTTAACAGTGATTGGTTGGGGAGAGGAGGGAGTGTCCACAATGGGAAGAAATGTTCAGATGACCTTTACAGTGATTGGTTGGGGAGAGGAGGGAGTGTCCACAATGGGAAGAAATGTGTAGATGACCTTTAACAGTGCTTGGTTGAGGAGAGGAGGGAGTGTCCACAATGGGAAGAAATGTGTAGATGATCTTTAACAGTGATTAGTTGGGGAGAGGAGGGAGTGTCCACAATGGGAAGAAATGTGTAGATGACCTTTAACAGTGATTGGTTGGGGAGAGTAGGGAGTGTCCACAATGGGAAGAAATGTGTAGATGACCTTTACAGTGATTGGTTGGGGAGAGGAGGGAGTGTCCACAATGGGAAGAAATGTGTAGATTACCTTTAACAGTGATTGATTGGGGAGAGGAGGGAGTGTCCACAATGGGAAGAAATGTGTAGATGACCTTTACAGTGATTGGTTGGGGAGAGGAGGGAGTGTCCACAATGGGAAGAAATGTGTAGATTACCTTTAACAGTGATTGGTTGGGGAGAGGAGGGAGTGTCCACAATGGGAAGAAATGTGTAGATTACCTTTAACAGTGATTGGTTGGGGAGAGGAGGGAGTGTCCACAATGGGAAGAAATGTGTAGATTACCTTTAACAGTGATTGGTTGGGGAGAGGAGGGAGTGTCCACAATGGGAAGAAATGTGTAGATGACCTTTACAGTGATTGGTTGGGGAGAGGAGGGAGTGTCCACAATGGGAAGAAATGTGTAGATTACCTTTAACAGTGATTGGTTGGGGAGAGGAGGGAGTGTCCACAATGGGAAGAAATGTGTAGATTACCTTTAACAGTGATTGGTTGGGGAGAGGAGGGAGTGTCCACAATGGGAAGAAATGTGTAGATTACCTTTACAGTGATTGGTTGCCCATAAAAGGAAAAAATGTGTAGTAGATAACTTAACAGTGATTGGTAGGGGGATGCCCATAAAATGAAGAAGTGTGGACGACTTTTAACTTGGATGACGGAGGGGGAAAAACCTGGGCAAGGTGATAAGCCAGTCTCTATCTTGAGAGCTAGTTGTGTCCTGTAATGTGTGTTCTGTATATGAGATAGTAACAATGTTCTGGTGTGAACTCAGATAACACTGATGGATGTTCTTTATTAGTGCTCTTATGATTTGGATTGTTTCTATATTTGTAGCTTCATTTTGTTCTTCCACAGGTGATTGTAACTTGTAACTGTAATGCTAGCTCATTTATGGCTTTTGTAACTTTGTAGTTCTGCTGTTTTCTACCCTCTTTCTTTTTATACAGCCAAATCAGTATGACATACATATACCTGGTACATACCTAACAGGGAATACAAGTGTGGCAGTGCTGTAGGTGCTCCCTGTATTGTAACTGACATTTCTGACAAATCAGAGAATCTTTATAGTACATGCCCATCTGGACAAAGTTACAATGCTTGGAGCTTCCTTAACAGCTATGTGTAGGTGATCTGGAACATTACCATGATTAACTTCATATAATCAGTTATTTACTTGACATGATAATATTGCATGCAGGTTTTAATCTGAAATTTATATTCCTGTAGATATAAGGAGCCCGTGAAATTTAAAGTTAGTGGTTCAAGATAGGAAAATTTCTGGTACTTAATGTAAGAGTGATCTTGTTATCATGATAATGATCCATCACATCCTGGACTGCACAACTTGTCACCTTACATATATACAGAATATCACCTAGTGTAGGACACCTTATCTAGAGACCTGCATCTGTATGTTAGTTTGACCTGACTGACTACTGCTGTATCATAGACATTAACCTGTGCTGCTTGTATCTCCCTAACACAACAGGGACAAACATAGCTTCCAGAATCAGAAGTATTACTCTCATGACAAACAAAACAAAAACAAAAAAGTATTATAATGTGTCTGCATTCAGGTATAAAATTTGGAATTTCTATATTAAGTAATAACCAGAACAATGTATCTGTGGTGATTTTCTTTAATATCATGGTCTTAACCAAGACTGCTGTTTTATTTTTGAAGCTTTGAGAGGGTTTCTTCTGTGTTTGAAACTATGGGTGGCCCCCCCTTGGCTAGCACAGTTTGGCCACTTGGTGTTTGTTGTTGTACCATCAATGATAACATTAGTATTGGAACGTAGGTATACCATGCTTGGGAAGGGTTTGATTTTTCACATTTTACAAATTATTTTAGATCACAACAAATTTCATTTTAAAAAAAAAGTTGTTTTTTATACTTCAATGTTTATTTTGTTAATTTATTTGATTGTACATTTTGCTCCAGTTTGGTCTGTCATAGAGACAGCCTGATCAAATTCATTGAAATAAGAGTCATTTGTGTGTATATATATAAACCTCGCATGCCTAAATACAGATGACATGAATGTGTGAGGTTAGGAGTTTGACTTAACACATGTGTAATTTTAATCTTATATTTACAGCTAAAGAGGGCAGAACTAACTCTGACGGAGCAAACAGTTACAAGTCCAACCATGAGGTAAGGCAGCAGGAGTTGGAGTTTTATTCAAATGGAGCAACAGTTTGTCTGTCTGACAAGCAAGTCAGCTTGAGACATCTGTCACATGCTCTATAGAGGGATGTACTGTGAAAGAAGATTAGATTACTATTGTTAACCTCTATATCATTACTGCCAGTAAATAGTCACTATATACATGGCAGGATCTAGAGGTTCCACTTGTCATACATAGTTCTGCAAGATCACTTTTGCTTGCAGAGATAGAGAACATGATATGATCTTAACCATAATCAAGGTTTGAGAAAGTGAGTTGTTCAAATGACTAATTCCTGTTGACCAGTATGCCTAAAACATGGACATTTTGGCAGCAGCAGTGACCTCTATTGAAGGTCATGTGATTTCTTTCAACATTAATAAGGCTGGTTCTGCCAAGAATTCCAATAAGCTTTCTGAAATTGCTTTATGATGGACAAATTCTCTCAGCACTTTCAATCTTGGAAGTCTTATCTTAGAATGCAAAATGCAAGTATTTTTTGACAATTGACATGATTGTTCAGGGTGATGCGAATGTGTAATAGGAGTTTTGTGTTAGTTTCTATTGTCAAGAGTATAACTAATGCTAGACACATACTGGGGGCCCTATCTGATAAGTAGATGCTCCGGTAATGTACAAATCTGTTACCTGTAGACAAGGTGTGGTTATTATGTACCTTCTATTATCTGGATGCTGTTGCATCATGGAAGCTGAACCACTGTTACTGTATATTGTGTTTCTTATCATCACTGCAAATTTATCATGACCACCATTGTCATCTAGTACCTTATATTCTCATGCCACACTGTTAAATTTGAAAACAGGAGACCAAAAGGAAAATTAAGGTGAGCCTTAATCGCCTAGATGTGAACAAGTTGGACAGCCCTGGTGATGGAAAGAGCCATGGCAAGTCGGACCCAGGCAATCACAAAGCTAGTCATGGGGATCACAAGCATGCCACTGGGAAGATAAGCAGGACCTTGGAGAAGACAACAGCAAATCAGGTACTGTGCATTTAGTTACTAGTCCAACACTTCCAGCAGCTCACTTAATCCAGTTATCAACACGCAGTCCCTGTAACTATATTGCATATTAATGCCAGTGCTGCTGGAGACGAGTGAAGTAATTATTTAATATTGCAAATCACTTATCCTATTTTCCATGTTATATTTTTTCTTCGTGAGTCAGACATGAGACTTATATTCGGTGGCGGCTTATATGTGGATGAACAAAAATTGACTAAATGAAAAGAAAAAAAAAGGGAACATACCTGTTATAGACGGGACTGATTTTTTTTACATGCTCCTACCCGCCATGTGTTTGTACTGACACAGATTGTGAAGAGCCGACATTTGTAATCGTATATGGAATGATTGGAAGATCACAATAATATGTTCTTGACTTTTGTGGTTACTTCACTGCAATTGAATGCATGATGGAAGTTTACAATAGCGTATTGCATTCTGGGATCAATAGGTCACCGTATGATAGGTCAAATCCTAGAACAACCGCCATGCTTGTTTATGATATGAATAGCTTTGTGTAACTTACAAGAAGAAATAATATTGAACTATGAATTTTGTCAGTATGCAATGGCCTTCGTTAATATTGAACAGTACAGACACTGAAACACTGGAAATATTGTTTAGTAAACCGTACACAACATCAGGCCCTACATCTGTGCATAGACAATTGAAGGCCCAAAGCCAATTGAGTTTGATGTTTGATATTTGCTATTTGATGTTTTTGGCATGATCAAAGTAATTTTAAAATACATCAATGAAATAAAGGATTATTTGTGTATAATTAATTTACAAACTTTATTAAATGTTTGACAAGAGTCAGTTGTGAATACAAATCCCAGTACTATTATTTTTGATTCCTCTGGATGGCATCCATGTTGATTTGATAACTGATATCAGAGTTTTGAAGAGTCTTTGCTTTTAAAAATTTGTCATTCATGAATTGAAAGTAATTTCCAGATCATGTATTCACAAATATGTCTGAAGAGGCGAATAAGATATTTGCTGAATCTAAGTGATTTACGGTAATAGATCCAAAATGTATGATATAACTTATATAATATTGTCAATCACAGTGATTACTAAAATACTTTAGTGAGTAGTAAAGGCCTCTTGGTCTTCAGTAATGTACATGTTATCTCAGGGACAGATGTGGTTGATACTTAAGATTGACTCTCTGTTCGAATCAGTTTAGAACAATCATTCTCTGTTTTAGGCGAAGGAAGATGTTTCTTCCATTAAATTGCCTGAGGATTCACTGGCCTCCATCCAGACTCCAGATGAATGCCTTGCTTCAATCAAGATTCCTGAAGATTCACCGGCCTCCATTAAAGTGCCAGATGATTCACTAGCCTCAATCAAGATGCCGGATGAATATCTTGCTTCTATTAAGATGCCAGACGAATGTGTTACTTCCATCAAGATACCAAATACATCCCCTACTTCAAACCATGATCAGAGGTACACACAACATCTTTCCTAGTTCGCTTGAAAATAAGGTTAATATCATAATTTAGAATACTGAAAAGGAGATTGTTGTCTATCATGTTTCATTGAACAACTTTGTCTCAATGATGAAGAGGCCAAGGGTCATGATAGTTTTTCGTTAGCATGCTGCAATGAAGGACAATCAAGTTTGTTAGGTCATCTGACCTGAAGGTCAGGATGAACTATCGTTGTCATGTTTCATCCGTTGTCCATGCGCGTAACAGCGTCCTCTGTCTGCCATGTGTAAACTTTCTATTCAGATTCCTGCTTGTCTCTAACCAACAGGCACTGGGTGCTGGTATAAGGCCTGTAGCATGTTGTGATAAAGCATTGATAATTTTGTTCAAATTAATGACCTTGATGCATTTCCAAGGTCATAGGGGTAAAATCTGTTTAAAGTTTTAAACAAAACAAATGATCCAGTGATAGTCCTGCCCAAATGTTATTATTTGTCTGGTCCAGTATCCAATATAGCCACCATTTTGAAAACTTCCCATTTCCACTGATGGCATTGGGCTGAAATTTTGTGGGAATGTGGGCCTCTTGTCTTAGAACTGACCTGAGGTTTGCCATATACAAATTGATAATTTGTTGGTTTCCCATATGGGAAGAGGAACCAGTTGAGATTAACATCATGTGTTGACTAACCATTAAAAAGTAGAAATTATAGGTAAAATAAATTGCAGCTATTTACTAAATAAGATTTTATTATATTTTAAATGTGTTTGTTTCATTTTTCTATTACAGAGAAGCTGATTTGTTTAGTAAAGATGACCAGAACAAGGCTGGAGGTGTGGTGAGTTTTTCCTTCAAGAAGACTGGTGCCAAGATATCATCTGCTGCAGTGTTTAAACATGAAGACGAGGAAGAAAAATCCAAATTGATTGAGGCAGATGGCCAACTCCTTCCAGTGTCCCATTGTGATGCTGCAGCATCAAAGATGGAACATCCTTCTGTTAATGATGAGGAGCACCTGCAGGCAAAGTCGCTGGGATCATTCATCAAGGTCATGAACAAAGAGGAAACCATGGAACTGGACTGGCCAGTTGCTATGGTTCAGTATACAAAAACAGAGCCAGTCATTGGCTTCAGCTGTGATCCTCTAACCTTCGACTTCAATCAGTTATTGGTCAAACCTAAACTTGATGTCATACACTCTTCCAAAGAGATAGAAACACCAGCCGAAACAAAAGAGGTTGACAGTTGTGTAGTCGTGTCCACAGTGGAAGTGTCCACCACAGAGGTACAATCAAATGAGACAGCATTGGAGGATACATCAGTTAAAGAAGAAAAAGTGGTGAAGAAGAAAAAGAAGAAAAGCAAAAAGCATAAGAAATCAGCCAAGAGCAACAGTACAACGCATGGAGCAACAGAAGCCGAAGGTAAAAAGTCTTCCGAGAGAAGAAAGAAGAAAAAGAAAAGAAAGAGCAAACATCATGAACCAACAGAGGAAGGAAAAACTGATAAAAATGCAGACGAGAAAAAGGATGAGATTGAAGACCAGAAAAAGTCTCATAGCAAGCACAAGAAAGAAAAGAAAGATGCAGAATCAGAAGGTAACTCTCAGGGAGGGAGTGATGAGTCTGGGGATGAAAGCCACAAAAAGCCAGCCAAACACAAGAAACATAGACATAGCAAAAAGTCAAAAAAGAAGAAAAAGAAACAGCATAGTAGTGACAAGAAAGAGGAAGCACTTCTAAAAGATTCAGTAAATCAAGAAAGTAAGGAAAATCCTAAAGATAGTGAAAAGGATTCTACAAAGGAGTCTGCAAAGGAGCAACAGAAGACAAAATCTTCTTCTGAACGTAAGGTAGATTCCAAACAAAGCCACAAAAAATCAGAGATTACTCACAGTAAGACTGTTAGAGAACTAAGAGAGAAAAAGGAAATGTCTGATTCCTCTGAAGATGAGGAGGAATTTGTTAAAGAAAGAAAGAGGAAGAAAAGGAAGAAGAAAGGAGATGGAAAGAAACTTGATAAAGTTAACAATGTCAAGTCATCTGATGGAAAAAAACCAGTTGAAAGGGTGGCTGTAAAACGTAGCTATACCAGTGAGGAATCTGAGTGTGAGGTAGAGGTTAGTAAAAAAACTGGGAAAAATCCTGCTTCAGACAGGAGTAAGAGTTCACCAGTTTTGACAACTTCAGCTATCAGCAAGAAAATAAAAAAGGAACCTGGCAGTGGTTCTGAGAGACAGAGTGTAACTTCATCATCTCGTAAACGACAAACCAGTGAGTCTAGTGTGAATGAGAACACTCCTGTGTCATCAAAGAGACAGAAAGTTACACCCTTACAGCAAGTAAAGGTAGAGACACCAGTTGAAAATTCATGGAACCAAATGGAAAATATGATCGAAATGAAAGCAACAGATGATAATACAAAATCAAAATGGGATACAAGTGACAGTGAAACAGATATAGCAGTGAATACTTCTTTGGCTAAGGAACCAAAAGTTCTTGGTAAAACAACACCTACAGTCAGCACAAAGCTGACTTCACTTGAGATAAAAAAGACTGTTTACAATCAAGCTGTGCTTCAACATGTTGCAAGCAAACCAATGAACCTAACTATATCTGTTTTACAAAACCCAAGTGGTCAACAGAAGATCAAGCCAGAAACAAAAACTGCACAGCACAAGTTAAAAGATGTACGCAAAGACTCAAGTAGATCTCACTCAAGGGGTCGCAATCATCATCGTAGATCTTATTCTAGGAGCTACAGCCGCTCAGGAAGTTCTTCATACTCGTCAGACTCTAGTCATTCAAGATCACGGTCATATAGTAGATCTTACTCCCGTAGTTCACGATCTAGATCCCGGTCTCACAGACGATCACGAAGGTCACATTCTAGATCATACACTAGTTATACAGATGATAGCTACAGTTCTAGGTCACGCTCCAGATCGTCAAGGAGTCGCAGATATTCCAGGTCTAGTTCATATTCACGCTCAAGGTCAAGATCAAGAGGTCACCACTACAGGTCTTATTCAAGGGGAAGCAGTAGGTCAACTAGTTATTCTAGGTCAAGAAGCAGATCTCAATCATATAGACACTCTAGATCTCATAGAAGGACTAGGTCCTCTGACTACAGTCGGTCATCAAGACATTCTAGTGTGTTGGGTGATCGACCTCTTAAAAAGGTAGAAAAAACAGTGAAAGAAGAAAAGACTGACAAAGATTCAAAGTCTGATCCTCTAGACATTCCTCTGCCAGACTTTGGCAAAGAGGATGACACAAAATCTGCAGAAAATATTGTCCAAAAAATCAAAGAGAAGAAACAACAACACTCAGACTTAGTTAAAAAAGGCATAGCAGCTAGTGAAGAAGCAGAAAAGGAGAAAGATACATCAAACACAAAGGATTTCTTTGACATTCCTTTACCTACAATTGAGGATAAGCCAGGAGCACAGGACAAACCAGATAGTGCATCAGGAAGCTATCAAGGATCTCTACTGCCTCCCCCACCACCTCCACCTTCAGGAATGGAACCAAACCCATCAAATATGCAGCCACACTATCATGGTCCAATGGGACCTCATGGAGGCCCTCCTGGTCCACATGGGCATCCTGGTGGTCGTCATGGCCCTTATGGACCTCATGATGGAGCACATGATTACCATCCGATGTATGATGGGCCAGGAGGATATGATGGTCCCCATGGACCTGGTGGTCCACATCATATGGGCGGGCCTCATGGCCCACATGGACCCGGTGGGCCAATGCCACAGAATATACGAGGGCCGCCACCTCATCACATGGGTGGGCCCCCGCATATTGGCCCACATCATAATATGCACCGTGGACCACACATGGGCCCTTTGCCCCGAAACATGGGTCCACCACCAGGTAACATGGGCATGAGAGGCATGCCACCTCACCGCATGCCTCCCCCAGGACAGAGAATGTACCCACCTCCTAACAGAATGGGACCACCACCTGGTCACAGTATGGGACGTCCACCACATATGCAGAATATGCCCCCTTCACATATGGGTCCTGCATCACACATGGGAGGACCAAATGATCCTTACAACATAGGGCCACGCTATCCCTATCATAACTCAGACAGAGACCCAACAAAGGACAAAACACCCCCTCCTCTTCCTCCATCCCGTTCTCCTTCACCACAGCCTCCTCCACCAACAAAGGAGGAGGAAAAGAAAGTTGAAGAGATTGTCACTAACCCATCCATTGTAATTCCTCCTGAACAAATAGAGCAATATAAGCGTCTTCAGGAGCAGGCCCAGAAACATGCAGTGAAACAATTGCGACGACAGGCTAAACAGGAGAAAGGTGAAACCATCAGTGAATCATCTTCCTCAGAGGAAGAGCAGGAAGAGGAGGAAAATGTGGAAGAGCAGTCAGTGGTGTCCTTGGAGGAGGATCAAATCTCAATAGAAGAACTACAGCAACAACAGCAACAACCCACACTGATCGCCATACAGTCCCCGGTACCACAACAGACAATCATGTTAGCACAGCCATCACAGCAATCTGTCTTGTCCCAGCTTCAGATGGCTGGTGTGGCAGCAATGGGACACTCTCCACAAATCAGTGGTCAACACATTCTCCTTCCTCATTCAGCGGCTGGAGGGTTGGTACCAATTCAAGCTGGGGCACCTATGATTGCAGTTCCTCATCATGCGGGACTACAACCTGTGAATGCCTTGGCTGCTGCAGCTGCTGGTGCACAGCCTGCTCACATCCCTGGACTTGTGCAAGCATCACCTCAGATTCACTTGACACCTTCAGGACATGGGATTCCCATAGCAGCCCAGCCTACTCTCATATCACATCAACAACAACAGATTCTCGCTGCACATCAGCAGATGGCTGCCGCATCAGCAGCAGCTGCAGCAGCCAGTGCTGGGCCTACTGTCCATCTCCCTCAGCACTATCTGGCAGCACATAGTGGTCAACCAGTAATTGTTGGCAACCATTTGCTAATCCCACGCATTGTACGTCCTCACCTATAAAATGAGCCTAGTACTAATCTCAGCATTTTAGATTGCAAAATGCTGCATGTCCAGATGAATTCTTTTTATCCAATTTCATGAGTCAGTGCTATAAGGCTGTGCCAAATGAGTAGGATTACACCGAGGATAGTATATTTGGTGATTGAATACTCTTGAATTCACTTTTGTCTTCTTCAGCATGTAAAGCATATACATCTAATTGATCCTCAATGTTATGGAAGTGTTAGTTGTGTACTTTAATTCTGCAAACTGACAAATGGCAATTTCACTACTGAAAAAGGAAATGGTTTATTTTTTGATGGGTGAATGGAGGGGGCTGTAAGTTAATCATGTTTGAACGATGAGATATAGACATTACATGAGTGGTTGTTGTGCATCGTATTTCTTTCTCTTCTGTTATTTTTTCAAAATTTTTTGTGAGTTTTGATAAATTGTTAATGAGAGTGAAAGAAATACATTATACAACAGCCACAAGTTTGTGTAACCGGTTTCTACCACAGTTAAAACATTATTCTGAGGACGAATTGATCTTGTTTGGTACCCTTATGCGTTTTGTTTATAACATCATTTGGGACTTACCAGGTAATGATATGTGAAATGCTTTAAATTGATATGCAAAACTGACAATTTCAGATATTTCTTTATCTTCAAAACAGTAATCCATCAATAGAAATCCATGTAAAAATCAAATAGTTAGAAAAACAATTGTGAACTACTTATTGGGCATATATGTATTGATTTTCACAAGATCACTATGTCAGCAAATCAAAGCAGCTTAAATATTGGACCACATACGGTATAAATATATATTTATACAACTATTGTAATGATTAATTGATGGTTTTGAAGTAGAATAACATCCAACTGTTGTGGTAGAAATATTGTGATCTCATCATAGCCTCAGTTACTAGGTACACATTAGATCTTTTCACAATATTTTGTTGTTAAAGACATAATGAAATATGGGAGTTCAAATCAAATGTGTTTGACAGGGAGATAAATGTTTCTTCTTGTAATGCTGGAAATTAATAATTAATTTTTTTCATGTTATGTTGAATTTTACAAGTGGAAAATATCACTTTTTTGATTGGTCAGATTTTAACAATGCTATACTTTTTCGTATCTTTAAGCTCACTTTGTCAGATACTGTAAATATGTTTAATAGTTTGATGAAATCAAATTTGATCAAGTTATCACTTTTTGGCAAGTTAGCTTGATGACGATGAATCTTTCTGTATATTGAAGGAAGCAACATTTATTGAAGCTTTTGATTAAAAACTGACTTAAAATATAATCAGACGGTTTTGAAAGGATTGACCACCATGGAACTGAAGGCCAAGGTGGTAAGAAGTGCATACATGTTTGCTACTTGTAACATTATTGGTAGATGATATGATCTGGAAGTCCATGTGATCTGGAAGTTCATGTGATAAAGTTTAGTTAAGGTGATTTAGGAACATGAAGTAATATTACAGGAACTATTACTTCAATTCCTGTATGGCCAAAATTCTAACTTTTAAGTTGTTGTTAATATATTTTAATTTGCCCAAAGCCATTCAATTACCACTTCACAGTTTAATATATATTTAAATTTTCCCAACACAATTCAGTGACTACTAGACAGTTTAATATATTTGAATTTGCCCAACACCATTCAGTTGCTACCATACAGTTTAATATATATTTCAATTTGCCCAACACAATTCAATGACTACTAGACAGTTATATATATTTAAATTCGCCCAACACCATTCAATTACTACTAGACAGTGTAATATATTTAAATTTGCCCAACACAAATCAGTGACTACTACAGTTTAAATCATTTCGATTTGGCCAACACCATTCAATAACTACTGGACAGTTTAATACATATCAATTTGCCCAACACCATTCAGTGACTACTAGACAGTTTAAAACATTACAATTTGGCCAACACCATTCAATAACTACTAGACAGTTGATATAATGATGAGATAATAAATTGCAACTAGACTTGCTGTATTGTGATGTCATAATGCTCTTGCCAGCCATTTCCTGTTTCAGTTGTTCCCATCACTAAATTCACTCCATCGTATAAGCATTTTCACTAAATATAACCAGATTCCTAACATGTATTGTCCAAAATGTTGTAGGTTATGTAAATATAAGTAATAATTATTTTTTGTGTGTAATTATAGCTGATAATTGAAAGCGATTTCATGGGTTTGCCAAAAGATCACTTACAATTATATCAACTATCATTCCAGCCACTTTGTTATTTTTTTGATGCACATTTGCTTCATATATCACTGGTTACATTTAGATACTGATTTTATGGCTGAAAGCAGAAAATGGTACAATAGTGATGTTTTATTGTAAAGCATAACAAAGATTATGTCACAGATTCCTGTACTTTTTGATTTGTAAGCATTTTTATTTTAAAAATGCAATGAAAAAGTCCTTAAATGGTATCTTGGTAAGTGCTTTATGTATTTCAATGGTGTGACAGAATATGCTACAAATGCAATTTTTTTTCGCTTCGCATAGATATGAAATAATGATATTTTGTCACTTTCATGAAACATGAATAAAGGGGAAATCATTTAATGTTCTCTTGATTTTTGGATCATTTACAAAAGCAATGATGCTTGTACTGATAGATGTAACACTAATGGTGAATTTGAAATGCTTGGAATTAAAATGACTAATGGTGAATTTGAAATGCTTGGAAAGTAATATGAAAGGTTATTTTATTTTATTTATTCTCCATAGTTTTAATGATGACAAAGATAAGATAATAAGTTATATATATCGTTGTGAGATGCGTCAATATTCTTACTATATAATATATTGTTTTATAAAACAATTGTCGTCAAGCTTAGATGAAATTTTGTGATTGTTGTTCATGTGATGTACTACATCACATACTGGCATATCGAGCTTGAGATTTGTTTTACAGTGACTACTGGTGGACAATATTGTTACCTTATTAATAGAAAGATATTGCTCAAATGTATTCAGCAAGATCCTGGATAGGGAAATGCTGCCTGCCAAGTGATGATTAAAGGGAGATAATTTGTGTGCTTGTTGACCGTTGCATGTTTTTTCCCTGTGAATTATTCAAGCATGTGGTGTGAGTGGTAATGACAGAATATGTTAGCCATTTGTTATGTAATGTCATTAACTAGATAAAATATTGGTTTAAAACAGAACAAGTGTTTCTTATTTTTTATTATTTTAAATATATCCAAAATTCGCCAGTCACACTGCTGCATAAGTGCAGGTCACATAATCAGTAAGAACAAGGCTTATTGTAACACCATTCCCACCATTAGAGTTTTGGGTCCTCTGTTTCAAGGGGCACTGAAACATGTCTTCCATATGTGAATTTTCCATTTTGGACTTTATATACAAGTAGTTTATAACCCCCAAATTTTTATGAAACATCCTTTGAGGAAGAGAATACAAAAATTTTAAAAATTCAAATACATACTGAAAACCAACTTGTGTACAATTTGATTTTGCAATTAAAGCGAGAACCTTAAGGAGTCTATATTACTCATCTGTATATATATTTGAAATGATCAATATAGTTAGCAACATGATAGATATAATCATAATAACGTTTGTCAATCTCTACATCTATCGGGGACATATTTCCAAAAAGTAGGAAAATATAGGAAATATAGGTCTTTCAAAATATAGGTTTGTGAACCAAAATATAGGAAATTATAGGAATCGGTTGACAGCCTGTATGTACTACATATGATTATAACACATTATTATATGAAGCTTCAGTTTCACATATCATTTAAGGATCGTTAACACAATTGTATGGTACCAAATTGACAACTTGGCACACCTAGGTATGTTTTATATTGATAACATAAGTAATTGTGAAGCGTCTTTAGACTTATACACTTAAAGAAGTAAGCGACATCAAAAGATGTATTGTTGGTATGATTATAATACACCCTTGTATCAAGTTTCTTGTTGATATTTGTAAAACTGTAGGAGTATGGCTACATAAAATTTCTCTGATCACTGACAGTATGCTTGTGTATCACACTTGAGAACAGCATCATCTTGTTATAGGTTAATTGTGTTTCTTTTAATTTCTTATTAGCCCACCATCTAATAGATTCTATCAGAGACATATATAACGCATATATACATCTCTGGTTTACATTCCTTATCACAACATATGCATTTGTCCCTTATTTAATTCAAAGAGTACCTCAAGAACAATTGTTCAGTAAGAATTAAAATATCTACACCTTATAGGTATTGGAAGACAAGCTTAACCCAGTCGCACTCGGAGAGAAAGATCCAATATATATATCCGATCTGTAAGATATGCAGAACACGACTCTAAATTCCTGTTAAACACTCCCTGATTGTTTTTCCAGTCACAGGTACAGTATGTCATGGATGCAAACACAAATCTGAGGGTGCATTAAAAAAGCACAAATCTTCAATGACGAGTATTGAAAAAGTTTAATCTGTTATATATTCATTTCTGATGTTAAATTTCATGTATCTCTGCTATTGCATGAACAACTTATTTGGTGTGAAAAATATTATCTATAGCATATATAATATTGTGTTTGTGATGCAATAACTGAAACATTATTCAGGCTAGGAAATAATCTAGATTGGAGCCTTCTTATCAGCCAATCAAAGGACAGGTAACAGTGTTTGAAATTGATACTGCTATGAGTTGTCACTGGCAAAATGAAATTGCTTTTTGGTCAGACACTTTTGAATGATTAAGGATTCAAAACTGATAATTTTCATAGCTCACCTGTCCATCTAATATGCACGCAATGTCTATGTACCCCTGACATTGGGTTTTGGTGCTTGAATAATATTTCGGTAATAGCAGCACACAGGTATCTGACATTTGGGGATGTCAGATTCCTTTGGTAATGGGGCATGTTATGCAACTTAGGTCTCTTCAAAGAACACACATGCTTTGCACAAGTTATAAAAGTATACACACAGCATTGTCTTGAAGAAATCCCTGGTAAAAGTGAGATATTCAGTTTGTAGGATGAAAATCTTTGTCACTACAAAAACTAGAAAACTACATTGCAGTCATAAAATGTTATATGCACCTCATGTACATCTTATGTAACATACAATCACAATGTTAGACAAGGAACATTGTTTTGGGACTTGAAATAGTTTTAGTGAGTACTACATTTTACACAAATTTGGCTGTAGATAGTCTTGTTCTGCATGCCACTAGTGATATCTCCCATCTAAAGTTACAAATATATATATATATATATATATACATATCTTATCCACATGTTAAGCCTTTCAGTAATTTCATTTCTTAAATGCCCCGCCCATCTATACAAAACTGATTCCCCTTCACCTTAGGATGCTTCAGATTTAAATGGGCACAAAAATCAATAATCCTACAGAAGAAGAAGGAATTTAAAGACTTCTAATTTTCCTCTTTCAGGGGCTTGAGATCCACCATTTATACAAAACTTGTCCCTCTTCACCTCTGGATGCTTCGGACCAAATATGCACAAAATTCAATCATTCCTAAAGAAGAACATGGATCTGAAGACTACTAATTTTCCCCATTTGGGGGTTTGAGACACACCATTTATACAAAATTTTTTCCTCTTCCCCATGAATGCTTCAGAATAAATTTGGTCGAAATCTGCTCATAATTTATAACTAGTAGTGATTTGTAAGAAAAATAGGCTAAGGTATGCCAGAAGCTCACTTTTCTCAGGAGATCAAAAAATCTCTCAAAAGTTGCTGAAGAGAAGTGGTATGTTTTGCACTTACTAACCATTTAGCCCCACCCTTCATAACCTAAAAAGACTCACACATCACACGAACGGAAGGATCATTAACAAAGGGAGGATGACGGATTTTTCTGGTTGGTTAAAACACTTCAGGTTAGTAAAGCTATGTAACAGAAATAAAAAATATAACAATCTATAAATATGTTTGTTGGTAACAACATTTCAGGTTAGTAGTGCTATGTAACAGAAATAACAAGATCCCAGAGGGTCTTGGCATCCACAATTGTTTGATCTTTTTCCCTTCTTTTCTCTTCTCTTTTCTATTTTTACTCTAAATGATTAGAAATTTTAACATTCCTTTACAGAAATCTGTAACTTCAAAATCCAAGATGGTCACCTGGAAAACATCATGTTTTTTTCTGATCAGTCCAAAAATCAAACAGGCACAACTAGTGACCATGAGGAAGACAAACATGAAATTTGAGAAGGTTCTATTCTGTAGCTCACAAGCTGTAGCTTCAAAATCAAAATCCAAGATGGCCACTAGTCAGCCATTTTGATTTTCTGATCAGACCCAAAATCAAATGGGAATAACCTTGGACCAAGGGGTATCCATCCAATTCTTCTCAAGTAATGGTGATAACAAAAATTGTTGACAGATCACAGACGCAGGACGATTTGAACAGCCTACCATCTGATGATGGTTGGCTAACAATGTAACAATCTACTATCACATAAGATAAGATAGATTTATTTTTTTGGCTGATAACAACATTTTAGGTTATTAAAGCTACTTAACAAAAATAAAAATGTAACAATCTATAATTATGCACCACTATAACAAAAGAAGGAAGGTATAATCTATAAGTGTTCTGGGTGATTTCGTAAACAGCACACAAACTGGCTAGGGTCCATCAGTCTCTCACAGATCTTATGTATGGACATGAACAATGGAAATCTGAGGAGAGAAAAAAGCATAATTTAGTATTAAGGTGTCTCTCACAAAATCAATCTTACTTGAAAAAATACTTGGACAATTACAACAATTTTTTTTCAATTCTGTTAGAAATATTTGACATGGACTTAAACCAAAAACAAGAGACCCATTGATTTCAGAAACCTTCCACCCAAATAACATGATTCTGGTTATTTAGAAGAAGTTATTTGGATATCTTAAATTTGACCCCTGTGACTTTGAATATTGTTCAAGGTCATTTCATTCTGCAAACTGTCAGGCTTCACTCTACGGACCTTCCAGTCAAATATAATTAATATTAAGACCATTTTGATTTTAAAGTTTTTATCAAAAATTGGCCCTTAGATATGGGTCAAGGTCATTTCTATTTGTAATTTTTTATTGGCTTCCATCCCAACAACCTATCAGTCATATGTTATGGTTCAAGACTTTTTGGTTATTCAGAAAAAAATTGTAAAAAAGAAAAGTTAATGCTACACAAACAGACAATTGATGCTTCAGCACAGCCTAAGCACACTTGACTCTGTTGAACAGGTATTGATAACCATGAGACCCTTCAATCTGTGACATATAAACTTAATACATTTGTATTCGCCTATCAAAATCCAAATGGCTGCCTGTCTGCCATATTTGATTATCTAATCAGTCCCATGACTGATTTACAAGGAATCTTGCAAACTTTCATATGACAGTTTATTGCAATTCAGCCAATATACTTCAATAAGGGAAAACTCATCACAAAATTAACAGTGGCAACAGACCACATGGGAATGCTTGTTTGGACATGTGATGAAGTCCACCATCAGAAGGGTATTCTATTACGGGTAAATTGGTATTAGTAGAGGCTACTTACTGATCAAGCATGTGTTTTGTCTCTAAAATGTGATAAATCTCTCGGGCTACCAGGGGGCCTTGGAAACTCTGACCATGCAACAGTTCTTTTTCGAGTTCCTTCACAGTCTAAAAGATATACACACACAAATTGACAATCTATTATTTGTTTGTTATAAATTTCAATAACCTAGATGGGCACTCTTCGCTTTATATAGTACATGTTGTGGTAAAGCAGTATTAGAATCTTACTTGCAATAATATTTGACTCAATAACGGGTCTTACTCTAAATATGAGCTTAAATGGAAGATTATAAGGATAAAGAATAAACCAGATAAAACATCTATTCTCTATAATTGATCTTTCATGGCAACGCTGACATGTTTTATGGTATAAACAATGTTTGAAATGAAATGTTACTTTGACCTTGACCTTTAGCCTCTAACATAAAAAGCAATTGAGAGCTAGCTCTTCCTGTGAAGAACAAACAGTTGTGTGGGATTTACATAATATTTTACCTTGGAAGACTTGACAACACTCTCTCCGAGCAAACGATTCCTGCCACCATGACAGGTTGCCACTAAATCTGCTATACCACAGCTTTCAAAAAATGTTGAGGTTTTGGAGTCTGAAGTAAAAACATATATCTGATTGGTGTTTTTGTTTGGTTAGGTGACATTAAATCAGGTCAATTCATATGACACTTTAGATCAGGCACTCAGTAAGTCTGACTCTAAACCTGAGTACTGACATGTCAGAAAGGGACCCACTATGAATCGGACTTTAAACTTGAATACTGACATGTCAGAAACAGACCATCTATGAATCGGACTTTAAACTTGAATACTGACATGTCAGAAAGGGACCCACTATGAATCGGACTTTAAATCTGAATACTGACATGTCAGAAACAGACCCACTATGAATCGGACTCTTAACCTGACTACTGACATGTCAGAAAGGGACCCACAATAAATGTGACTCTAAACCTGAATACTGACATGTCAGAAATGGTATTTCAATGTGCCCAACTCACTAGATCACTGAGAAGGATTATCTAAAATAATTACAATGACATTGAAGTCACTGTCACTATCAGACTAACAGTCAGAACTATATAGCCTTCACTGTCACTATCAGACTAACAGTCAGAGCTATACAGCCCTCGCTGTCACTATCAGACTAACTGTCAGAACTATATAGCCCTCGCTGTCACTATCAGACTTACAGTCAGAACTATACAGCCCTCAATGTCACTATCAGACTTACAGTCAGAACTATATAGCCCTCAATGTCACTATCAGACTAACAGTCAGAATTATATAGCCCTCACTGTCACTATCAGACTAACAGTCAGAACTATATAGCCCTCGCTGTCACTATCAGACTAACAGTCAGAACTATAGAGCCCTCACTGTCACTATCAGACTAACAGTCAGAACTACATAGCCCTCACTGTCACTATCAGACTAACAGTCAGAACTACATAGCCCTCACTGTCACTATCAGACTAACAGTCAGAACTATATAGCCCTCACTGTCACTATCAGACTTACAGTCAGAACTATACAGCCCTCACTGTCACTATCAGACTAACTGTCAGAACTATATAGCCCTCACTGTCACAATCAGACTTACAGTCAGAACTATATAGCCCTCACTGTCACTATCAGACTAACAGTCAGAACTACATAGCCCTCACTGTCACTATCAGACTAACTGTCAGAACTATATAGCCCTCGCTGTCACTATCAGACTAACAGTCAGAACTATATAGCCCTCACTGTCACTATCAGACTTACAGTCAGAACTATAGAGCCTGTAACCTTTAACATGAATAAAGGATATATCTGTACACATATCTTGTAGCCTCCATTGCTGGCATATGCTCTTGGCTAATACCATCACTTTGATAAGTGAAAATTGTATTGAGTATTTCACATAGATTTGCTCAATTATAATAATTTATGTATGGAAAGTTTTAATACCAGGTGAGAAAAATTCTGCAAATTTGATCATCTCCATAAGTCCTAGGCGTATAACAGCTGCTTTAGTGTTGTCACCATAACCCATACCATCCACGATGCCTGCTCCAATAGCCACCACATTCTGGAATACAATATTGTTATCGTCAACACCAACAATACCTCCTAAAATTCATGATGTCATTCTTGTATATGCTGATGACTGTTTAACCAAAATGTTTCGTCTCAATTGATCCTATAAACATTAATTTTAAAACTCAGTAGTTCTTGATATTCTTTATACCTTCAAGGCTCCACAGATCTCAACGGTACATGTATCATTCACAATCATACAGTGAAAATAAGGAGTCTCAAAAAGCCTCTTCAATAGCTTTCCATTCTCTTCGTTAGTGCTTCCTACAATATAACAATGTCATAATTATTGAAGATATGGCCACTAAAACTGGAAAACTTCCATATCAATCAGATTGTTATCTTTATTATATCTAATATTCTTGGTGAGTATAACCCCTCTCCCCTCTTCATTCAACGTTACATTGGCACAAAACAATGAGCTCATCTCTAATTAGTTAGAACATCTATACATTTACAGTTTTTATCCCTATGACTACAGAAGGATTTTAAGGATTTTAAAGAATTTGCTAAATTTCGCTCATTGGACCCAACCCCTCCAGACCCAAGTGGCTGAGACCCATTAATAATAAAAACAATAGCTCCCATTCCCTCAAAGATGCTTTTAACTAAATTTAGTCAAAATCTGCTTTATGGTACATGACTAGTGATAATTTATAGAAAAAGTTGAAAAATGGAAAGACAACATGCCACATGCTCACTTGGTCATCCAGAGCTAGAAAGTAAAGGGAAAAAAACTATACCATCATAATGCTTTAATGATATCGGATTGATTTACCTATCGTCGATTCACAGAATTGTTCTTCAGCCACTTCTCCTGCCAAGTTTGCACCCATCATCGCTGAACAGTGGATACCAAGTTCATCTGAGATCACATCTGATATTAGTTTTATGCCATTCTCTGTTATAGATACACCCTGTAATTAGTTATCACTATATCAGATGCTGTTATAGATACACCCTGTAATTAGTTATCACTATATCAGATACTGTTATAGATACACCCTGTAATTAGTTATCACTATATCAGATGCTGTTATAGATACTGTAATTAGTTATCACTCCATCAGATACTGTTATAGATACACCCTGTAATTAGTTATCACTATATCAGATACTGTTATAGATACACCCTGTAATTAGTTATCACTATATCAGATGCTGTTATAGATACTGTAATTAGTTATCACTCCATCAGATACTGTTATAGATACACCCTGTAATTAGTTATCACTATATCAGATACTATTATAGATACACCCTGTAATTAGTTATCACTATATTAGATACTGTTATAGATACTGTAATTAGTTATCACTATATCAGATACAGTTATAGATACACCCTGTAATTAGTTATCACTATATCAGATACTGTTATAGATACACCCTGTAATTAGTTATCACTATATCAGATGCTGTTATAGATACTGTAATTAGTTATCACTCCATCAGATACTGTTATAGATACACCCTGTAATTAGTTATCACTATATCAGATGCTGTTATAGATACTGTAATTAGTTATCACTCCATCAGATACTATTATAGATACACCCTGTAATTAGTTATCACTATATTAGATACTGTTATAGATACACCCTGTAATTAGTTATCACTATATCAGATACTTTTATAGATACACCCTGTAATTAGTTATCACTATATTAGATACTGTTATAGATACTGTAATTAGTTATCACTATATCAGATACAGTTATAGATACACCCTGTAATTAGTTATCACTATATTAGATACTGTTATAGATACACCCTGTTATTAGTTATCACTCCATCAGATACTGTTATAGATACACCCTGTAATTAGTTATCACTCCATCAGATACTGTTATAGATACACCCTGTAATTAGTTATCACTATATCAGACACTGTTATAGATACACCCTGTAATTAGTTTTCACTCCATCAGATACTGTTATAGATACACCCTGTAATTAGTTATCACTCCATCAGATACCGTTATAGATACACCCAGTAATTAGTTATCACTCCATCAGATACTGTTATAGATACACCCTGTAATTAGTTATCACTCCATCAGATACTGTTATAGATACACCCTGTAATTAGTTTTCACTCTATCAGATACTGTTATAGATACACCCTGTAATTAGTTATCACTATATTAGATACTGTTATAGATACACCCTGTAATTAGTTATCACTATATCAGATACTGTTATAGATACACCCTGTAATTAGTTATCACTCCATCAGATACTGTTATAGATACACCCTGTAATTAGTTATCACTCCATCAGATACTGTTATAGATACACCCTGTAATTAGTTATCACTCCATCAGATACTGTTATAGATTTGCACTGTTTTTAGTTATCATTATATCAGTTATTTTCAATATCTTTCAAAATCCTACAAAATTCAAAGTTCAAAGAAAACCAATATATACAAGGCTAGCCTTCTACTGCTATATACCACAACTTATTGTCCTTTATTCTCAATACATAGCTAACATACAACCAAAATACATGGTTATAGAATAACTAGAAATATATTACCTTGATGAGAGACACAGCAATAGAATCCTTCTTTATGTTGCCTTTCATTGTTGAACAAATATTTGCCACAAACTGATGAGGTAGCACAAATATGTAGATGTCTCCATTTTCACTTGCCTCTAACAGGTTCGGTACAGCAACCTTTAGAAAACAGGACAAAGAAGAAATCAGACTGATTACCTCTGTTGGTATAAGTAACAAGTAGCCCAGCTTTTAATGCTCACCTAAATATTCAAGAAATTATGACAACGAAAATGTAGTATCACAAGTACATCCTCAATCTGTATATATGTCTCCATATCAAAGGATGGAGTTGATATTTGAGGCAATGATGATAGGCACCAATAATAGACCTCGTTAGACTGACAGGCACTTTTACCAACAAACGTTTCAATTTTCTATGATAAAATTTTTGTATAAATTTGGCTACTTTATGTGTGACCTTAAACCAGCCCACATTGACCAATGGTCAAAAAATCTTATACTCCAAGGTATATCATAGCTCTATTGTACATAATCTAATTAAGTATTGTCAATATGTTTAAGTCTGACATTTGACTCTTTACCCTGGACCAATGAAAACCAAAATCTATATAAAGGTAGAACTTGTGTGCCAATACCATGGTGTGAATTATTAACAAAATCTATATAAAGATAGAACTTGTGTGCCAATACCATGGTGTGAATTATTAACAAATCTATATAAAGGTAGAACTTGTGTGCCAATACCATGGTGTGAATTATTAACAAAACTATATAAAGGTAGAACTTGTGTGCCAATACCATGTTGTGAATTATTAACAAAATCTATATAAAGGTAGAACTTGATGTGACAATACCATGGTGTGAATTATTAACAAATCTATATAAAGGTAGAACTTGTGTGCCAATACCATGTTGTGAATTATTAACGAAATCTATACATGGCTAGAACTTGTGTGCCAATACCATGGTGTGAATTATTAACAAAATCTATACATGGCTAGAACTTGTGTGCCAATACCATGGTGTTAATTATTAACAAAATCTATACATGGGTAGAACTTGATGTGTCAATACCATGGTGTTAATTATCAACAAAATCTATACATGGGTAGAACTTGATGTTTCACATTGACTTCACATGGCCTGACAAATTGCCTGACATGTGCACAAAGCAATAGTTGTTAATGAGATCAGGAATTGTTTTGAAATGAAGACCATTTCAGATTTAGACCTGTCATTCGGGGGCAACGCTGTCAACATTTAACATGGAGGCAAACATACTGATGATAAAAGTCAAATGACATGAAAATCTAGCATCAAAAAATGATGATCAAATGATTAAAGAATGTGTATGGCTTTTTTATTTTATTTTTAGTGACGAATGATATACTCCCATGATGGAAAATCTTTATACAGGTATTACACATTGTAACGAAAGATTTCAATGCAGGAGAATTTTCTTTCATCTCTACCAGTAAATATTTCTGCAGGAGAATTTTTCCTTTATCTCTACCAGGTGATATTTAAGCAAGAGAAAACTTCCTTCATCTCAAGGTGATACTTCATCAGAAGAAAACTTCCTTCATCTCAAGGTGATACTTCATCAGAAGAAAACTTCCTTCATCTCAAGGTGATACTTCATCAGAAGAAAACTTCCTTCATCTCAAGGTGATACTTCATCAGAAGAAAACTTCCTTCATCTCAAGGTGATACTTCATCAGAAGAAAACTTCCTTCATCTCAAGGTGATACTTCATCAGAAGAAAACTTCCTTCATCTCAAGGTGATACTTCATCAGAAGAAAACTTCCTTCATCTCAAGGTGATACTTCATCAGAAGAAAATTTCCTTCATCTCAAGGTGATACTTCATCAGAAGAAAACTTCCTTCATCTCAAGGTGATACTTCATCAGAAGAAAACTTCCTTCATCTCAAGGTGATACTTCATCAGAAGAAAACTTCCTTCATCTCAAGGTGATACTTCATCAGACGAAAACTTCCTTCATCTCAAGGTGATACTTCATCAGAAGAAAACTTCCTTCATCTCAAGGTGATACTTCATCAGAAGAAAACTTCCTTCATCTCAAGGTGATACTTCATCAGAAGAAAATTTCCTTCGTCACTAGCAGGATATATTGCAGCAGAGCTTGTCCAATCTACCAAGAAATATTGAAGCTGAAGAAGTCTTCCTTCATCAAGTACTGGCCATTTTAACATTGTCTGTACAGGACTTTGTTGTAAAAGAGACATAACACTCTGTAAAATGGTGTGTTTAAGAACCTTTATAACGTAAACAGCAATGGCACAGCCTGTGTACAGTTGTTCGCATACCTGTAATGGGTGGTTGGGTAGCAGAGTGGTAAAACACTTGCCTTTCACCTCGACTTCCAGGGTTTGATTTCCGGTACAGACATTGAGAGGTATGGGTCACCTGCCTGACCACATGGGTTACCCCTGGGTAATCCTGTTTCCTCTTACAATAAGATCCCTCACAAGTTTCCATCCGGGCCAACAAGAGTGATTAATATAAGCTTAAAGCTTGTTTCCTTATTGTTTACAATAAATAAAGTTTATATTAGGCTGTAATATATAGACAACAACACACTTACCACATTATCAGGCAGCTGTACACCTGGTAAGTACTTCACATTTTCATGTCTTGTGTTTATGACCTCAGTTAACTTTTCTCCATCAACAATTTCTTCGTACACATACATCCGCACCAATGGATTAAATAAATCACTCCTTTCTCGCACATTTTTGCCAACAATTTTTGCTATAGCGGATCCCCTGTGAAGAAAATGCAATATTTAATGAAGATAGTAATGTAATACAACAGGCTCTTTTTATAGAATAAGTCTTTCAAAAGTAAAAACAAAATTAACCTGAACAGATGTTAGTCTGACATCACAATTGGTGACTACTATGCATAGGCTCAATGAATCCACTTTGAACATGTGACCTTACAGACAAGACGATTATCTAACTCACTGTTGGCAACAGAAACCAAGAGCACCTGACATCATTCATTTAGCTATTACAGCAACCAGTGTTAAATATTATTTCTAGTATTTTTACAATGATTTATTTTCTGCCTCCTGGAAACATAGAAGAAAGGGGTTCCAAAGATGATTCACAGTCAATACATGGTAAATCTGGATAAAAAGCACTCAGCTTTAATACTGATACTCTGCTTCTAATGAGATTTTACTTCTCCATTTTATACGGAGCCCATTCTACTATCTACATGTCTTTGTCAGCACTGATGGAGAACTTCAGAGAGGAGGAGAGACCCTTTGTCATTTACAGAATTCCTTTATCTTTATGTTAAAAAGATTTTATTGTTATGGGCCCTACTAATCACTACAAAAGGGTGGCAGGTGGCATGGGGAAGTTCATTTCAAATTCATTTCTCCATTTGGCCCCATCCCTATATTCCCAAGGGTGTCAAAGACCCACCATTTATACAAAATTGTTTTCCATTAACTCAAGCATGTTTCAGACAAAAAAGGACAACACCTAAGCATTTCTACAGAAGAAAAAGGATTGTATAAAATATTTGCTCTGTTTCACATATTAGGCCCTTCCCCATGGGGCTGAGACCAAATTTTTACACAAAATTAATTCACTAAGCCAAGGATACTTCAGAACAAATTACGCAAAGTCTAATCACTCTTAGAGAAGAAGGAATCTTAAAGAATTTGTTCTATATCCCCTATTAGGCCCTGTCCTTCCTTCCCAGGGGGCAGAAACCCACCGTTTATACAAGAACAAAATTAAAAATTCCCTTTCATGCAAAAATCCTTCACACTAAATTTGGGCAAAATCCAATAAGAGTTACAAAATGTGTTTTTCAAGAGTGCCACGCTGACCACACTGGATTTTGAACTAACCCAAAAAATAACAATACTTGGTTAGGACCATATATACCACATGGCTATAGGTCCGCTGACCGAAAAAGAAGCCCATTGGCCTTATCGGTCATCTGACTATAAAGACCTATATATGATAGAGGCCCATTTGGCCAGGATTGCTCATCTGTTCTGCAGATTACAAAGATGACCTTGGTAGTTCATAAAGTATATTTCTGCTAACTTGAAATCCTATTCCTCATATATGCACCCTTTTGGTTATTGAGAAGAAATGTTTAGAGATTTTAACACATTTGACCCCTGTGACTTTGAAAGTGGGTTAAGGTCATTTGATCAAACTTGGTAGCCCTTCATCCAAGCATTCTACAGGCCCAATAGAAGTACCCAGGCCTTTTGGTTATTGAAAAGAAGCTGTTTGAATGAAAAGTTTATACATGTGGACGACACATAGCATATTGAGCCTGCCGAAACATGATGGCTATGGACTTCAGGTCAGATGACCTAAAAATATGTCTTGTTCAGGGAAAACAGAATTGCTCAATCATGATAAAAATGCAGCCATGTTTACCATGTTGAACATAGCCAAAAAAAAAATAACAAAGAAGCTTAATGGACCTATATCGCTCAACTGTTAATCAATGTTTATCACCAGTACAATCAATGTTTTTCACAAGTACAATCAATGTTTACCACAAGTACAATCAATGTTTATCACAAGTACAATCAATGTTTATCACAAGGACAATCAATGTTTATCACAAGTACAATCAATGTTTATCACAAGGACAATCAATGCTTATCACATCACAAGTGCATCCAGAACAAAGTTGAGCTTCTGGCAATAAACTCTAAACAGTGACAGCTATGACCTAGATTACGGGTAAATGTTTTTTTTTCATTTTTTTTAATTGCTGGGCTTTGACCAGGAACACATTTCCAACAAATATCCTAATTCTTGGAATTCAATTTACAAGAAGAAGTCTTTCCAACATTTTCACAAATTTAACCCTGGTAGCTGTACATAGTCATAGTCATTGCTTTTTGCAAACTTTACTCAGCTTCATCTGAGAGACCTACCTGCAAAATATCAAGCTTCCAGGCCTTTCATTTAATCATAAAAAGTTGTTCGAAGACCTTGACAAATCTTACCCTTGTGACCTTAAATATCAGTCAAGGTCATTTCTTTTTGCATAGTTTGTTGGGCTGTGATCATTCTTCTAGGTCAATCAGAAAAAATTGTTTAAATGTTTTAACAAACTTGACCCTTGTGACCTTAAATATGGGTTAAGGTCATTTCTTTTCATAATCTTTGTCAGGCTTTGACCCAGTGACTCAACATGGCATTCAGCCTGTTCGTTATAATTTAATATGAAAAGTTGATGTCATAAGGAACTTTAAAGTGTGCCCTTTCAGTAATAAGAATACAGAAAATAGTTGGTAAAAGTTACACATAGTACCTATTTATTCTGTGTAAATAAAGCTATATCAGTTATAAAATGTATTTACCCTTACAATTTTATTACAATGCATTCACATATCTGGCCTCCAATACAATTCTGTCAATTTTGGAGCAATTAGCAATCCCATTTGGGCTTTTTAAATTGCTATGATTTGGTGATTTTTGCCACGAACATGGTCATTTGTGTTGAAAATATCCTGGCTTTTGTCAGTGTAATGCTAAATAAAGTTCAGAGCCTGCCTAAGATATGAAAATCAAACGTCCTTTAAAACCTATTAAGTATGACCTGACTATTCTTCCTGTATCCGGATTACGAAACCACTTCCCGGATCCGCCAACTACAATCAACGTAGGTCAACAGCCGTATATGTCAGCCCAAGGACGGAGTCTGAAATGAATACTGTGTAGCAAATGCTGTCATTTTGAAAAATAGTTTCTTGGCTAATTTCCTCTATATTATGAAACAGATACACAAAGGATAGTACTGAACCTATAATACAGTAAGTAGAAAACTGTAAAAACGTAAATAAAGACAAACCAGTTTCCTGAGCCAATGATGCAGACGTTTTTTCCCATTCCGTGTAGTTTATTTACGGATATTGTACTACAACCAAGAATCTTCAGTAAACACCATGCCGAATCTGATTTTACCGACATACAATTTGGGTCCGTGGATGAAAAAGTCCATATATAAACACATTCCTTATCTAAAAGCGTGATCACTGTATAGAGCTAATTGGTCAGTCAAGCTTTACAGTTAATTACGTCCCTGAGCTAATCAACAATATTCTAGTCGCTGATCATAAGGGTTTTCCGTCTCCGTCACTCTTCCTAACAGTCAAGTGTTTTCGACGAACGCCCATGTTTTAGCGAAGTGTCGGTCAAAGCTATATGTTTGTATCACGAACAGACTGAACCCTATTGTTCTTTGACCACATAACGTTACTTTGGAACTGGATTCAGAAAGTAAGACAAAGAGGTAACGAATGCCTATTATAGATACAGAAATGAAGTTATAGCCTATCCTACGTAATCTATTCACTAATATAACATGACCCTTTCGATATTGAACGTTCACCGCTAAATTTGCCGTATCAGTGGAGGAAAAGATCTATTTTTTTCTATATTCTACCTTTTTGAATGAATTCATTACGTTGTCTAGATTTTCTTCAAATTGGCGATTTACATTTTCAAAGGGCGAAAACTTTAACGCCTCGCTCAACCGTGAAATTTTCCGATAGTTTACGTATTATAGCAATAACAATTCAATTTCATAACCCTTTCTCTGTATCTGTTTATTTACAATGCGAGATCCTTACGACCATGTAATGCCTCGGGGTTGGGATGCGTGTTGGAGGCCACTGACCAGTCTTGGAAGGTCTCGGTTGTGGCACTGTTGGCGGTTTCTCGTTTTTTGTTTTTTTGTTTTTTTTTTTTAAATATTAGGCAGTAAGTATGCCTATCTTATACCAAGACGTAAGTTTCCACAGATAACAGGTAACTGTAGCTCAGTAGAATTATCCTTACTAGTGACAACACATATACAATAATAAAAACATAAAAATATCACGATGAAATCACGTATCACAGAAAGCTGATTAAACAATAAAATGGCACATTTTTAAAGGTCATGCAAACGTAATGCTGATTTAATAGACACGTGTCTAATGTTCCTATATGCCAATATGGCAAAAGCTAAAAAACCGACTAAAATTATATGTGGAATTGCCACCAGCCATCCTTATGATAGGAATTAGAATGTTTCCGGCGCGGGGATTTACGACGATGACACATTTCTATATGAAAGACTATTTATTTCCATTAAACAAGGGCGTGTGGTATAAAGGGGTAAGGAACTAGACCCAGTGTATTCTCGGTCCTGAGGCTGTCGAGCTTATTGCTAAACATGTACTGTATTGACAGAATGGGCAGTAACTTGGGTCCAGTGATGACTTCTCTGGTGCTAGGTTTTGTGTTTGTTGATGACCTTGCCGTTCTGTTCTGATTTTATCTACATTCACTTCTATGTTGTAGTTGTGTGTACTTAGCACTGTTCGGCCTTACCAGAGCAATTTTGTCGGCAAGTGGGAGGCGAATCTCGTAACAAAAATTATACTGATAACACGGACTTAGATATCTCTATATCCGACTCTATGATAGAGTAAAAGCAGGGAAGTTTAATCACCATTGAGAATTTACAATTAATAACTATGATTATTCGTATCTATAACTTTATTCCAATATTTCTATTCAAGATATATTTCGTTGCATTGCTATCTACTTAGCGATAATTTCTGGTACAGGATTTTTAGTCCTCTACACCAGACTCCTTATTTGTTTGATTTGGCTGTGTTTCTCTCACAGCCAGATCTCAATCATGAGCATTTTCCACGCCTCCAAAAACCGGGACTGGATAGGGCATACACAATTTTAACCCCAACAAATTAGGAGCAGTAAGTGCAAGCCGTGTTAATTCGTCTTGGATATTTCAATTTATGTCCGTTCTCGGCCCTCATCGTCAAGCTTATCGCTATAATGAAAACGAAGGGCGGTAACTCTGGGCCGAGACGTATTCATCACATGTGATCGTCTCTGCTCTGGGAGATCAGAATGTCTATGTCATGACAACCCTATTTCCATAGGTATATACAACATAAAAACATATTTTGATATCCTTATATTTCCGGAGACATTATACTAAAAGTGTGTATTGTATCTCTGTATTCATAGAGTAAAATAATGTTATTTTGGAATCGTTTACGACTGATTCACTAACTCGTGCTTGGTAATATCTCTACTTGATCGCTTTCGCATAATCCGGTTGAAACGGTTCAGGTGGTACTTTGAAATTATTGCACGAGACACGAACGCAAATGGGACAGGTATACGCAAAGCTCAAAATACACAGTTTCAAAATTCCCTGTCAAGCGTAAAACAATGAGGGATTATTAAGATACATCGACTCAACTCAAACATTTAGCATTATATGTCCGGAAATATGTATGTGCACTGACCCTACTCTAGACTGCAATTCTGAAAACTAATGATATTCAGCAAGGTAGTAACGGATGTGTAGAGTAGATTGCGAATGATCCGCAGATCAGCCTCAGTCTCGATCTTTATCTGTCGTTTGGTATGATCCAACCGTTTCAACCGCTTACATGAAAGCGACCTATGACTGTATAATACGTCATTCACAAGAATAAACACAACCAATATATTTGTAGTTGGGTTATCAAAAGTACACGAAGCATAAACTTGCCAGTTTTGGTATTTCCGTGGAGATACCGAAAGTGTCGTTGTTATCTCTAGAAGGTAAGTTTTTTTGTAAGACGTCATTAACACACATGAGAAAACTGTCTGTACATGTCCAATCGACTGTCAAATGTAATTGCGTTTTCGAAGGAGACCTATTTAAGAGGAAGTTGTTGACTGCGCTGGTACATTTTCTCCAAACCCGTGACCACACTCGAACTGCGGTACTTTAACTAATATTAAGATTAATTTTACTTATTCTGTCTCATTCTTTGATATGCTTTTTATTAAATTTTGATTCTTATAGATGAAATAAATGGAAGAAATGTAATACGTACATATAAAAATGGACGAGTGGATGGACAGTCATATCTATTTTTGTCTGTTTATTGGAACTGCTTAATATCATTGATAAAATAGGACATATTGGTGAAGTAGATTATTCTTTACCTTTGGTCGAAAGTATACAAAATGGAAAAGTGTCAATCATGCCCTTAAAAGTTCTTCAATGGTGATTTTTTTGTGAAAGAACAGTGGAAATACTCATTCCTGTTGAATATCCCGACCAGGAATCAAATCTGGGTCTCTGGCCTGATACTTTACCGGCTCTACCAACTGCGCCAAAGAAGCATGCTCTGTCAGCAGAGTGACAGAGACCATATCTAATATATATACAAGCCACACCAACCCGCTCCTATTACACTACTACCCAGTTTTTCTTGAGATATCCTAAATTTCAACCTGTGACTCTAAATACCACTACTTGACTTGTGGGATTTCATTTGGCACCATTGTGAAAGAACAGGAAAAAAGTTCACATTCCTGTTAAGTGCCCCGACCAGGAATCAAACCCGGGTTTCTGGCGTGATAGTTCGCCCACTCTACCTACTGAGTCAAAAAGGCATGCTCTGTCAACTGATTGGCAGAGACCGTATTTAATACTATATACAAGCCACACCAACGGGCTCCTATTCTGCTTTGACAAAAAGTTAATGCATGATGTTTCTGTATGTTTTTCCTAAAAGTATCTTTGACCAAAATGGCTGTAGCAGTGAAAATTCATACTATTTTATTTCAATCATGAGGTTATCGTTTATATTACAGTGATATAATTCACATAAATACACCTATAGGATTGATAGTTATCACATTTAATGTGCATATTATGTTGTTGTTTTTTTTTTAACAGTATGGAATCTGAAGTAAAGAATTTCAATGATCAAATGGACAGTAAAGGAGAGGAAATGAAACAATCTCACACCGAGTTTGCGATGGTTGTCTTTCACAACATTCCAGAAACCTATCCAGCAGATGCTCACATACAGTGTGCATACACCATCAGCTCAGATCTGGTACCTTCAAGTTATGACTGGGTTGGTCTGTACAAAGTTGGCTGGATGAGTACCAAAGACTATCACTACTATGAGTGGGCAGTTTTACCAAAGGAATATGAGATTGGCAGAGAAGCTGACAGCGCAGTACTATTTCCAGGTACATTTTAAATAATTAAGAAATAAAAAGTCAATTAGAAATAGGTATCTGGCTTTATGTAAAAGTTGATACTGCTCTACAGCAACAACTTACAGTCGTACTACCTAACATCCCAGTTACTAGCTCACCTGGCCATGATCAACAGGACTGGTGAGCTTATGCCATGGCGAGGCATCTGTTGCCTGTTTGTCCATCAACTTTTCCTTTAAAAAATACTGCTTATCATGACTAGCTGAGTGCATTTCTACCAAATATAGTCAAAAGCATCCTTGGAGGAATGGAAACAAATTTTGTTTAAATGTTGGGTCGTGGGGTCCCCAGGGCCTGAGGGATGGTACCCAATATAGGAAACACAGCAATTCTTTAAAATCCTTCCTCTACAGTGAAACCTTGCTATTAAGACCACTTTGGGAACTGGACAAAAGTGGTCTTAATAGCGAGGTGGTCTTAATAGTAAGGTGGATCAGATTGACCACCAAGAACCGTAACTCTGTTTGAAATAAAGACTTTGTGTATAATTGAATAATGTACATGTATATTGTTCAACAATAATAACTTAAAGTTTGTTAAACTGTACATAAAATTTTGAATTTTATAAAATGCATGTAAAACCGATAAAATTGTATGTATATATTCTTTTGTCAATTGTATATATGCCTTAGATTATATCATAATATACATGTATATTTACTATTGTAAACATTGAATAAAAGAAAACAAGCAATCAATTTTAAGATCAATAGGAATTTAACGTTAATTTTTCAAATTTTTCTCATAAATTTACAAACATATTAACTAAAGTCAATGTATTATACAGTAAAACACATTTGTAACAACATGAATGAAGTTACTATAAAGTCCTTGAACGATTAATTTTTCACATAAATTCACATAAAAAGACTTTAACTATGCTAGTTTATCATTTAGTACAACACATTTGTCTTTTTACTTAAAAAATAAGTCCAATGTACCGTCGCGAAGAGCTATGGATCTGGACAGCCTCCTCTTCCATGGTGTCGACTTTGTGTGATTGAGTTCTTCAGAGTTTTGTGACAGTGAAAATATGTCATAAAAATTAGGAATAGATACAAGTTTGTTTGATTGTAAAAACAATGTTGTGAGTGTAATATTGCTACAAAAACCAGCAACAACGTGTGCATGATCAAGCAAAGAAATATCAGCCGAAAAGATTACATAATTCACCTTTGGGTATACAGGGCTTCTAAGGTGTTTAACAGCATACCTCCCAATCTATCAGTACATAATTAACAAATAAAAGATTGCTATTAAAACGTGTCTGGCACACAGTTTCACACCGGAAGGCCAAGTTAATCTGATTATGATGTTTACTTCGCGTAACGCCACCTAATGGCAGGGCCAGTAATCTGTGATGTAAACAATGGTTGTGATTGACACATGCTCGTGGTTCACCGACACCAGGTACACTTGTATCACTTTTCAGAGCTTGATTGTAATTGTGAGGTCAATTACCATTGATTAGTGGTAGTTGGGACTGTGAGAAGTGGTCGTAATACAGAATAGTGGGTTTGTCGTAATACTGAAGTGACCAGAGGTGTGTTATTGATATCATAGCAAATTTATAGACATAAAAGCACATGATTATAACAATCTTGAGTAAACCCAAGCTTACATATTTTATATCCAAGTTACGTCCGCTCAGTATATCTGACACCTTCCATTCATTTTGGAACAGGCATGATGTTTTTCGCTGTACAAAACTTCCTCTTTTAACAATTTTTGAACAATTTTGATTTTAAAGTTGTCTTTTTTTTTTTTTTTCGTTATAGCCCATAAAATGCCTGAAGATGACGGAGAATTTTACCAGTTTTGTTATGTGACCAGCTCTGGCCAGATCAGGGGAGCAAGTACACCGTTCCAGTTTAAAAAACCATGTGCAGATGACTACATAGAGGTGGAAGATAACGACATGCTGATTATCAGGTCCAAAACTGTTGTCCTGGAGGAACGACTCAAACTGATGGAAGAGGAAAAGTCTCGACTTGAACAGGTATATATAGGTTAATGGTGGCAATATTCTGATCAGACAGTGTCATGTTGAGGTTTTAGAATTCTCAGATACAGGTTAATTGTGACAATATTCTGGTCAACATATTATTAATATGCTGCAATTTCCTTTTTAAGGCTGTCTTAGATTGGTTATTCAGTTTCAGATCAAGTCATTGTCGTGATATGTATTTGATATAAACGTATCTCCCACACAGGGGGAAATACATATTTTGTAGAATCACATGACAATCAAATATAGGTTAATTAGAAGTAATTTCTTAATGAAATCATTACAAGTACCAACATTATATTAAATTAAAGCACATTAGTGCTACATGTTGAATTTGCCCTTACCCTGTTGGCATTCATAGCCTGTGAATGCCAACAGAAAGCAGTTGAATGCTTATATTTTTCATTTTCAATTTTCAACTTATTATAAAAGAAGGGAACCTCAATTTATTTCCATTTGTTTACATGCAATATTTCTACACCATTCACAGTTCACGAACTGGTAATACACCACTGACTTGGTAATGTTACATCATAGGAATACCATACAATGGTAACATGATAACATAAACTTGCATGATCACTAACTTGAATTGTCACACAGCAACAAGAAGAAATGACAAAAGAAAGTGATGGACTGGTTCAGAAGTTATCAAACCTAGATGGTCAGCTGTTGGAGGCGCAGAAGCAATGTCTTGATCTGGAGGAGAAAGTGCAGGTTGGGGAGACCTACATCAGTCAACTCAACCAGGTACACATCACCTCATATTGTGTATTTATCAGATATTCATGATGGCTGCAAGCTAGTATTTTAAGGAGAAACTTCAGAAGTTTGTTTCCACCTGATTTACACAACACATTTGGTATATGCTAAGTATATGCTAGTAATTATGGTTAACCACAAAATGTGGCTGTGAAAGGACGAAATCAAAACAGTTTAAAATATAATATTAAGAACACGGCAAACATGTTGCATCCACTGTAAACATTACTACAGACAAGAGGGAAAAGATCTCACAATGGTAAGCCGTGACTTTTTCACCGTGAGTAGGGGTGCAACTTTATGCCAATCGGTTTATATATACATGGATGAAACCAAAAAGAAATTCAGAAAAATTGGGGAAAATATGAAGTACCAGTACAAGACGTCATAAACTGGTTTTTACGAGTACCAAGTGTTTGTGACAGAAACAAATCATAAAGAACCAATTGGAATTGTATACTAAATGATTTGAAGATTGCAATCAAATAATATTTCCGTGGATTCAAGTATTCATATATGTTGATATGAAACAGTACAGTGAAACCTCGCTGTTATGACCACTTTCGGGACTGGACAAAAGTGGTCTTAATAGCAAGGTGGTCTTAATAGTGAGGTGGATCAGATTTACTGCCAAGAACCGTAACTCTGTTTAAAAAATGTACATGTATATTATTCAACAATAATAACTTGTAAACATTGAATAAAAGAAAATAAACAATTTGTTTTAAATTTAATAGGAATTTCACATTAATTTTTCAAACTTTTTTTATTTATCTAGTTACAAACACATTAACTCAGTCAATGTATTACACAGTAAAACACATTTGTAACATCATGAATGAAGTTTCTATTAAGTCTTTCAACACTTCATATTTCGCATAAATTCACAAACACATTAACTTTGTTAGTGTATCACTCAGTACAACACATTTGTCTTTTTAATGAAAAAATGAGCCCAGTGTACATTGTCAGGAAGAGCTACAGATCTAGACAGCCACCACTTCTATACAGTCCTTTTGTAGCGATGACTCATGTAGTTATTAATAGATATAAAATTATTTATTACACATAAAGGGAAAAAATCTTGATATGGAAGGGCACAGTTTACCTTTGAATTCAATATGTAATATTACAATTTTAAACAGGAAGCCCATGACATGAACATTGTTCGTGAGGAGCTACAAACTCGTCTTGACACTCGGGCACATGAAGTTAAAGAAAAAGAGGGACTTATATGTAGACTTAACGAGGAGATTACGGAACTCAAGACTGAGATACGAAAACTTCAGAATGAAAAAGACAAGTACGAGGGTGAAATGAGAGTGCTGACAGGGCAAATGGAACTGTACAAGGTACATAGACAGAAGTCTTATCTTTCTTTGAAATTGTATACATAAGACTGGAACTTACTTCAAATAGTTTTGATGTTATTAAACAAGTACCAAAGTCGTCAGGAGAAGTTTATAGAATATGCATTATATTTTGTATTTGAAGGATATAAGCACTAATTTTATATCAATGCAACCTTCTAGTTAAGCTGATATTTGGAGTCAGAACTCATTACAGCTGTCTTTTCTTTAGTCTGTTGATGTGAGGCCTTCTTGGATTACAGATACAAAGTTTTTCTGTCCTTTTTCTTGAAAAGGAATGGGCAGATTTCTCTCTAATTTTGTAAACAGGTTTTCCTGACATCTTGGTTGTGCAGCATAAATCTTGTTTGCGGATAGGATGAAGAGAGTCTAGTAGATGGCTATGTTTTATTTGATGGTCAGTGTGTGTTATTGCAGTTCCTCAACTTTTGTACACAGTATGTAGATGTGTAGATCACATTGACTGTCAGACTCTGCCATCTTCAATTTCATAGTTTCTTTTAACTTTCTTCATGAATTGAACTTTTACCAGAGACACAACATTAATCTGAAAAAAATGAAATTATTTCTTCCAGAATCACTTTGCCAAGTCAGAGATGTCGGTCAAAGAACATAATGAAAAGCTTGAGAACTTGACTAAAGAGATTACTGAGAAAGAAACTGTCATCGCCATGTTGAGGAGTCAGGTTGATGCACTGCATAGGGTAGTACAGGACAAAGCTAGGGATGTCGAGAAACAAATCACAACTTCAAAAGAGGATGAGGTATGGTTCTATTTAATTAGTGCATTAATTTGTTATTGTTAGCTGGTCAGACAAAATGTTGAGGGGATGGTATTGTTGGGCATTGACTTATACATCAGTCATACTTACATGGATGATATTATTTCAAGAGGCTGAACACTTTCTATGCTCTAAAGATCTGATCTTTATTTTATGCCCAATACTTTGATCTTGACTTCATTTTATGGTGACTTATTGTGATCCCCTTTTGTCCAGCATCGTCTGTAGTAACATTTAACACTTTCCACTTCTGAAAAACCCCTGAACATATTTCAGCAGTCCTCTGAATGCTTAAATAAATTTCACAAAATTTGGTTTGAAATATCACTGGGTATGACAATAATTTCTTAAATAGATGAAGTTGGCCTGACCCCAGAGGATAGGGAAAGGGGGGGTCAAAAGAGACTTTATATGATTTTAACATCATAGGTAGTGAAACATTACTTGGGGAGGGTACTCCTGTCTAAAATGAATAACATTGATCCTAACGGACAGGAAATAAGGGAAGTAGGTGATATTTGTTTAAAACTCTTCTCCTAAAGTGGATTTCTACCAAATATGGTCTGAAACATTAGAAAATGATCGCTATTTCTTGAATTAGTTGGTTTGATCCCTGGAGAGAGAAGGTTGGGGTCCATAAGGGCAAATTAAATAAAATTTTACTTTTTAAGTGCTATTCCTTAATACCTGACTTTAAGTAAACCAGATTTGGTCTAAAGTATCATTGAGGTAAGACAATTATTTCTTGAATAAATTATATTAATTTGATTCCTGAAGACAAACACTAGTAGAGAGGAGGGAGATCTCTAATAGGAGAACTTTGGTTGTTTTAAATCCTACTCCTCCTCCTTCGTGCTTGCAGTCTAACCATAAAAAGATTGTGCTTGGACAATATTTTATATAACTGGTGCTGTTCTGACCCTTGGGGCCAGGGGCGTAGGGCCTGATATGTCTAATTAGAGAGTTCCTTTAAAGTCTTATTCTTCCTGAAGGTTTTTAATTATCTAAAGCATTACTTTAGCTAGAGTTGAGACAATTTGCTGTAAATCTGTACTACATAAGAAGCAAACTGATACATGACTGTTATGGTATGACTACTGTCCCAATATTATCACAAGTGTTGTCTTGGAAAACATTTTTATGTAGGATTTTGCCAAAAGTGGTGTGAATGTCAGTGATGATTGCTCTCCCTACTGTAAGTTCTGTACTAGGCTGATGGGTCCCTTGTCAGTTGACCTGAAGTATTGCTATGTGGAGATGATGAAATGTCACATTGAAAGTGGAATTTGTTTGTAGCATCATATAGACTGCCTGACTGAACGTCTGAAAAATACAGAAGATAAACTGGAGGCAGCAGAGAACACAAAGAAACTCATGGCAGAGGAGATTCGGTCATATGAAGAGGCAAAGGAGAAGATGTCATCTGACCTAGAAGTGAGATTTTTATACTAAATGAAACCAGCATTTAAATGAAATGGACATGGAAAAGCAAAACTATATATAAGGCCTACTTACATATTCCTGAGGCCATTGTTTAAGAAATATTGTAATATTTGAATATTTGTTGACGTCCCTAGTATACACACATAGTTATGTGATGAGAAATGGAACTGACTTCAATAATTGTAGTTAAACTTCAATATCATTATGACTAGTTTGATTACATATAGTAAAAATCTAGGATTAAATAATCAACAAAAAGATACCGGTATACATGCATGAGTGACAAGTGATTATTTAATAACCAGGTTTAGTAAAAATAATAAACTATGAGATGTTTTACCATAAAGGATTGTTGACATCTTCTTTTGGTATAGAATACTTCAGATTTGTTTCCATTTTTGTAGAAATCAGAGAGTACTTGCTACGTTCTGAAGCAGGAACAAGACAGATTGATTTGGGAGTCAAATCGTGTAGCCAGTGATGTGGAAGCCCTCAACTGTGAGCTGGAGTCAGTGAAAAAGGTAAGAATCAATTAAGGTAAGGGGGAAACCTCTCTGGTAATCTAATGGTTGATTAGGGTACAGAGGTAAAACAGATTTGAAATTATGTGAAAAGGTCATTATGTAAATGACCCTTATTTGACCCGTTCATCCTTGTTTTAGCTTGTCCTGGCCAAATATTTCACTCTGAGAGGTTAGCAGTACTGCAAATTGTGAGAAATTGGATTTCTTTGCTATAAGTAATGTTAAGAGAGGAATATTTTGATCTTGTAGGAAAAGGCCAAAATAGAAATGGAAAATGCAGCTTTGAAAGATCAGCTTGGAAAAAGTAATGATACAACAGAGAGCTCTCTCAGCTCCCTGCACTGTTTACAAATGGCTCAAAAAACTTTAAAGGAGAGATACTCCAGGATAGAGCAAAGTCATGAGCAGCTACACTCACAAATAGCTAAAAAAGCTGTAAGTATAACCTTACCCATTCTACATCAAGCAGTAAGGTTGAAATGTCCTTTAAAGAGACTGATGTTTTCTATGACCTGCCTGTTTTGTGTTATTCAAGAGTAATTTGACATTTGAAGACATGTACTTATAAGGTTGAAGATAAAGATATTTTTTCTGACAACTCAAGGTGTGTTTTTATCATCAGATGGTGGACTGCAGGTCCCTCTTTGTCTGTCATCCATTCTTAAACAATTTTCGTTATCACCATTTTTGGAGAATCAGTGGTTAGATCATTTTATAAATTTAGTATATAGGTATGTCATGGTCCCTAGTTGTATTTAGTATATAGGTATGTCATGGTCCCTAGTTGTATTTAGTTTATAGGTATGTCATGGTCCCTAGTTGTATTTAGTATATAGGTATGTCATGGTCCCTAGTTGTATTTAGTATATAGGTATGTCATGGTCCCTAGTTGTATTTAGTTTATAGGTATGTCATGGTCCCTAGTTGTATTTAGTATATAGGTATGTCATGTCCCTAGTTGTATTTAGTATATAGGTATGTCATGGTCCCTAGTTGTATTTAGTATATAGGTATGTCATGGTCCCTAGTTGTACATTGTCCATTTAGAGTTGGATCATTCTCAACTTCATATGTAGGTTTCCCTTGGTCCCAAGTTTTGCCTTTTTTTTTTTTTTTTTTGAGACTGATCAGAAAAACGAAATGACTGACAGGCATCTTGGATTTGTGAGTGAAAGATTTCTATTTCTAGAGAGGAATATAAATAAGATTAAAATGAAAGGAAAGAAGAGAAAATGCTTTTACTGATCAAAAAATGGTGAACACCCAGATCCCCATAAGATACTGTGACTGTTATACTATGATGTCAATAAGACAGAGATTGTTACAGACAACTGCTTCAAAACTGATGATTTGGACTTACGTTTGAATGGTTTGAGACAAAGTCTCATGATGATCTTTTACGATCCCCTTTTGTTTGGTGTCATTCAGAAAACAGAAAATAGAGCAAATCATTAAAAAGTGGGAATTAATTTTGTGTAAACAGTGGGTCTTGGCCCCCTACGACCTTATAGGGGAAATACAGGAAATCAAATGAAATGTTTGACTTTTCTGATGGTTCGACTTAATCATGTTTTTATGAATGGAGACACCATACATGGAAGAATGACCCTATTTCATCACTTTTTTATCGGTTTCTTGTTTCATAGCATTGTGTTGCGTAACAGTAATAAATAAATCAATCAATAGTACAATAACGATATCTTTTATTGAAATAAACCATTATAAGTATGAATATAGAATGAAAAATGTAATGTGAAACACTTGTCATCGCATTGTAACATAGTGAAATCAATATCTAAAGCAATATAAATATTCTACTCACATGAATATCTTTAAAAGGTGAAGGCTGCAGAAATTACTGATTATTTTTTCCTTCTAGTTTCCGGCAGCAATGCGCAGAACACAGTAGATTCACAATTTTTGGACTAATGTGTTGTCTAAATCTTTATAAATTCAATCTTTCACCTGTACCCCTGTATAAACCCAGATACCAGAAACCTATAATAGAGCCCATTAACACAGACATGGCTGACCGGTCACACTCAGTCATTTGGACCAAAGCAAGGAATTTTTTACTTGAGACAAGGTGACACCTGAGTGTTCAAGACAAAAAAAAAAAATTTTGGTAGAAATTTGAAGGGACGGACCACAAAATATGTTTGACAAAAACACAGTATTTGACTCAACAGTGTTCTGGTCATTCATATTTTTTGTTAATAAGATAAAGAAGAGAAAAATTCGGGATTGAACGAAACATTTGACTCATTCCAATGTATTTGGCTCAAGCATGTTCGGCACAAGAAAACTTCACCAAAGAACAAATCTTCTAAATTCCTTCTGTAGGGATGTTGGAGTAAGGGGCCAATTTTGTACAAGCATCCTTCCGTAAAAGGGAAATCAATTTTGTATGATCGGTGGGTGTTGACTCCCTAGGGACAGGGCTTAATAAGATATTTAGATATTGTCTGATTTTCACTTAATTTTGTTGATAGAGTTAATGGGGAATGTAGAAATAAATGTTCAACTGTTTTGACTCTTTCAAAGAGTTTTGATGAAATTGATTAATTGAGGTTTTGGCTTATGTGATGGGTATTTATTTAAGTGATCTTTAGAAAGACAGTTCTGTTTTTTTTATTTCTCCCTTCATATAGTCACCAATTTGACCTTTATCATTGATTGTTGTTTTGTATTGTTATTTAGAAAGAGTACAAGCTCAATATCAAGGAACTTGTACGTGAAAATGAAGATCTAAAAGAGAGGCTGAATATGAGTTCAACTGAGTACAAGACTTTGTACATCGAAAACAAGAAACTTCAGAAGAAAATGGGGAAAATAACCGATAAAAGTAAGTCAATGGTTCTTTATTGGTAGTCCAGAATCATCAGATGGTCAGCTGTTCAAATCATCCTGACTACATCATCTCTATTTAAACAATTTCTGTTAGTGTTGTTTCTGGAGATGTACAGGATTGATCTTTCTCAAATTTCATACGAAGTTTCCCCTTTGTCCTAAGTTGTGTCCCTTTAACTTTTGGACTAGTTAGAAACACAAAATGACGTCCACATGGTTATCTTGGATTTTGATTTGGAAAAATTGAGATTTTTGTTTCTTGAGAAGTACTTAAAGGATTTTTCTCAGATTTCAAGTGTAGGTTACTCTTCATCCCTAGTTGAGCTCGTTAGATTTTTGAACTGATCAGAAAATTGAAATGGTTACCAGGTGACCATCTTGAAATTTACAAAGATTGCTATCACTAATTCTTGAGAATTACTTGCAGTTTCTTCCAATTTTACCTCTTGTCCATTGTTGTGGCCCTTCGATTTAGGGACTGGTCAGAAAAGCAAAATGGCAGACAGATGGCCATCGTGAATTTTGTAGTTTGTTATCACTATTTCTAAAATGTAGATTCTTTGGTCCCTAGTTGTGTCTTTATGATTTTGTGATTGGTCAGGTAGGAAATTGGCTAACTGGTGGCCAGTTTGAATTTTAGAAATTATATACTTTCTTTTTCTTGAGGACAGGATAGATCTTTTTCAAATCACATAATAAGATTCTTCTTGGCCCAATGATTTTTATTTGACTTTTTTAGGCGAGTCCAGAATGACAAGTTCCAAATTTTGATGAGTCCCAATACTGAAAGATATAGTAGTGTTGCAAAATTTGAGTGAGCCCCATAGGAAAGTATGAGTCAAGGACTCAAGTATTTGAGTCATTTTGTGTAAACTTTCCATTCAAATGATTTCTTCTCATTAATCAGAAGGCCGAGGGTACTGATATTAGGCCTTTAGTTGGCTGGGATGAAGGGCTATTAAGTTTGTTTAAATGAGTTACCTTGACCCACTTTTAAGGTCACAAGGGTCATTTTTTTTTAATCTTCAAGTGACTTCTGCTCAGTAATTCAAAGGCCCAGAGAGTGACTCATATTCAAGGTCATAGGTTTAAGACATCTAATGAAAGCATGTCAGCTGTTAATGTCATGTTACAGTTATTATCACAATTTCTTCTGACATATATGATATTAAACAGTTTCCACTGTACAAGTACTTCCATTAAATTTAGTCTTTAGTTATACAGTTGGATTGGGTTAAAACCATACATAGCTAGTACCCAAATTTTAAATGATATTGAAATTTAAATGTTCAGTTTTGGTTTCAGAAAAGACCAGAAAGTTGGATAGAAGCATATCAGAAAATTCTGTTTCCAAGCAAACCCTTGTGGTGGAAACCCTGGTAACGTCAGCCTCGTTGGATGGTAAGTAGAAATTGCTATACCTTCAGCCTTTGTACTTTGTCTGTCATTGTTCGCCTTGTGTAAACATTTGACAGTTGAAGTTCCATCAGTGGGATTGAGCTCTATCTTGTCTGAAATGATTCTGAAATGGTCCTGACCAAGTGTTGTTATTTTTCATGTCAGTCTGAAATCCAAGATGGCCACCATGGCTGTCATCTTGAAAAACATTTTAAACTTCTTCTCCTGTTAGACTATTGCCATAGAGCTAAACATTGGTGGTAATGTTAAGGAAAGGTAGCTGACAAAGTGTTGTTATTTTTGACCTTGTCAAAACTTTGAAATGGCTGCCATGGAGGTGATTTTGTAACATGATTGCGCAATCATGGTTTTCCTGTGCAACACCTATTTCAAACTTTTTCAAGTTTCACCAGTGGGATTGAGCTCCAACTCCAAGTGTTGTTATTTTTCAGCCTGATCAAAAGTTCAATGTGGTCAGCCATTTTGCAGCATGATTGTGCAACTGTTTTCATGGGCAGAACCTAACATTTATGGATTTCTGATTTTTCAAGGAATGTTCAAAATTTTAATCCTTCAGATTTTTCTAACTACCATTAGCAAATTCTTTGGTTTGTAAATCCATTTGTCTATTGTCATATGACTGTTAGGGGCCCTCTTGTTAACATATTTAAGGCATGGGTGATAATATGCTCTGTTCCTCACAAGAGAGTAAACTTTCAGTCAGTTTAAACTGGAAGACTACTGTAATGAGTGATATTTAGGACATGTGATACGAAGGGTCTGGTTGACCTATAGCCATCCTGTTTCCTCCTTGGTCGAGGGTCTTTCCATTGTGCATAAACTTTATATTCAAACGATTTCTTCTCAATAACCAAAAGGCCAATGGGTGCCGATTTTGGACTCATAGCTTGCTTGGATAAAGGGCTACCAAGTTTGTTCAAGTAAATTACATTGACCCACTTTCAAGATCATGAAGTCTAAAATTTTATAACCTTCAAGCAACTTCTTCCTAATAATCATAAATTTTCTGTTACATAATTGGATGAATGCTTACCAATTTATTCAAATGATTGACATTGACCCTCTGTAACTAGGTCAAATGGGTTGATAATTTAAGATTCATTCTTCCAAGAATCAATAGGTCCTGAATCACTGGCTTTTGTGTAGTAGCAAGCTTGAGGAATAGGATTTCATATTTACACATATTAACTTTGTGAACTGACAAACTCATCTGTGAGCTGTTGAACATGTGAAGAATTCCTCCCTATTAAGCCTTTATCATATATAAATCTTGAAAGTCAGATCGTTGTTATGGTCAATGATGTGCTTATACCATACCATGGCATCTGCTATCAGTCCATCATCAAACCATCTTCTGTCTGTTGTCATTCTATTGTCTGACAACAATTTCTTTAAAACACTACTTGTCATAAATAATAGAGCAGATTTTGGTCAAACTTGGTCAGTTGCATCCTTGGTGGAAGCAGACTCAATTTTGTATATACAGAGGGTCAACCCTCTGGTGCTTGAGGGGCAGGTCCAAATAGAGGAAATTGAAGCAAATATTTTAAGAACCTCCTTCATCATCAGTAGGAACAATTGTATATTGTCCAAGTTTGGTATGAAGCATTTTAAGGTGAAGAAGACTCATTTTTGTGTAGACAATGGGTCTCAGTCCTTGAGGCATGAAGGGCATGGGCTCAAGAGTAGAAATAGAGCAAATTCTTTAAAATCCTTCATCTGAGGAATGGCATGATTCTATCCCAAATTGGTTTGGAACATTCTAGGGCGAAGGGAAATTTTATTCATAAGTTTCCCTAACTCCCTGATTGTACCATTTGGATTTTTGGGACAGATAAGAAAAGCACAATGGCTGACAGGAGATCATCTTGGACTTCTTCCTCTTGAGAGATATTTTCAGAATGATATCATTAAGAAGAAATAACAGAGGAAGGAATGTTTTGAATTTGCCCATGGATCTTGCAGGGCCCATTAAGGGATATAGTGCAAATGCTCTAAGATCCGGCTCCTCCTGTAGGAATGATTGGGTTTTGCCCAAATTGGTCAGAAGTATCCTGTTGGCATTCATATGCCTGTGAATGCCAACTAAAAGCTGCTGTATGCTACTCTTGAACAAAAACTTTTTACCTCAGCATGAATATTAATTTTAATATTTGTATTTTTATAAGAATCCAGACACGACACAGAGCACCAGCCTCCCAGTCAACTGGAAATGGAGCTTGAGACCATGGGGGATGAGCTGAAGAAGCGTCAGGAGAAGAAATTGAAGTAAGACATTCCCAGTGCTTTTTAAATGTCTAGGAAATTAATGATGTCCTTATATCAACTTGTGAGTCACTATGGTATCTGGTTAAGTATATAGTTGTTCCTGCACATGCGTAGTGATTCCTGGATACAGAGCACACATGCAAACAGAGGAAAACACAAATGGAAAACTATCTTAAACACAAATGGACATAAATGAAAACAGAAAACAATACCGAAGGTGAACAGAAAACTACTCAGCAAGATTCAGAACATGAATGATTTCAAATGCATAAAAAGCAAACAAAATAGTTCTTTTTCATTCTAAATGGTTCAGGGTTTTCTATTATGGAAGATTCAATTATTGCACCCACTTCAAAGATGATAGGGGTTAGATGTATTATATAACTGATCAAACAGACCTGATTGACAGACCTAGGGTTAATACACATATAATACCTGTAAGGTACTGAATAGAAATATGATGTATGATATTTATACCAATGTAAATTGATGGAAAAATTAATGAAAGACATTTATGTGTGTATAGGTATAAGAAACTGTACATGGAGGAGAAGGGCAAAACTGAAAGTCTGCGTAAACATTTCCATGAGGAAATGCAAAAGAAGGAGGAAGATACTAATCGCCTTCGCATATGTATTGAAGAGGCTACAGCAGCAAATGAAATTCGTGTGCGATCTCTGGAAGTAAGATATCTTAAAGCAGATCATGTTAAGTACCTTTCTACTGAAGTCATATGCTTTCAACAGGTTTATACTTTACATTGAAAGGGTAACTGATTTCCAACATAATTCTAAAAACAGGCCAGTGTGTTTTTTTCTTTTATCATGTTATACAGTCAAACCTCGTTAACTCGAAGTCGATGGGACCACGAAAATACTTCCGAGTTATCCGAGTCTTCAAGATAGCCGAGTTCATGAGTTTTGGTGCAAAGATTTTTAATGTTCCTGACGTTCCTTGTACTTTTCGTCACTTTTTGTACTTTGTCTCGACTGTCTTCGTCTCTATCTTCCTCTTCACGCCGGTCTTTGCCCTATCAATCGATCCAAGTATCCCCCCGGATAAACCGAGTCCTTCGTTGGATTGCTCAATTGACTTCGACATTTCGAAACGGGTATGATTTCGGTGAGAAACACCCCTGCTTTTATCCCTATGTGACACTCATGACATCTCCTCACTAATTCTGCCCTAAGTACTTGGACGCTAATTAAATAATTGTTTCACTCATTTGTCGGTTTAATTGAGCACAGGTGACCGTTTCATGTGTACTCCTGTAAAAACATTAAGCCTAGTACCGGGCCAGTGTTGTGATTGTTTTCTATAGCTTAGTTCCGCTTCACTGAGTGTATACACAGGTCGGTGTTTGTTATGGCTGACAGACACGGAAATTACGCAATGTGAGTAGAACTTCACTATTTATCGCCGATATCTATCAATTATAAGATCTAATGGTTACCTTTTATCATTCAATTAAATAACAATAAACACTTTTCTAAAACATGAATATTGTTAATTACAGTATTGTTCATTAATATTCACTTGTAAAGCCTATTGTCGGTAAAATTGCAAAACGGCGTAGCGCATCAGCAATGTAATTGACCGGCACAAAATTTATACTTCGAGTTTTCCGATCATATTCAGTATATGTTTTGTTGTTGGGACCAAATTTTTACTTCGAATTAACAGAGTTTTTCGAGTTTTCCGAATTCGAGTTTTCCGAGTTTTGATTACTAGAATAAAGAGAAGATTTTGCCGGGACCGACAAAGTGCTTCGAGTTAAACGGGGTCTTCGAGTTTTCCGAGTTCGAGTTAACGAAGTTCGACTGTATCTGTCTTGTAAAATAATTTCACATGTGTACAACACGAGCAAGGATTTATCAACTCATTTTCTGTTGAAATGAAACCTATTGTGCAGTCATTGTTGATATATCTGGAAAATAAAGGTGTGATTGGTTTATATTTTGACTCAGAAATGAACATGTTTAGATCTTCCTTGATTTTGATGCAATAATTAATACATACAGATGTAATTGGATGGGTGAAAAACACAGTTCCTAGCTGTTGGGGTTAGAATTAGGCCTATAGCATCATCAGGATGTCTGTCTGACAACTTCAGATTCACTACTTATACCTGTCACCTGACATTGACATCATCAGGATGTCTGCCTTACAACTTCAGATTCACTACTTATACCTGTCACCTGACATTGACATCATCAGGATGTCTGTCTAACAACTTCAGATTCACTACTTATACCTGTCACCTGACATTGACATCATCAGGATGTCTGTCTTACAACTTCAGATTCACTAGTTATACATGTCACCTGACATTGACATCATCAGGATGTCTGTCTTACAACTTCAGATTCACTACTTACACCTGTCACCTGACATTGACATCATCAGGATGTCTGTCTTACTTCATTAGATTCACTACTTATACCCGTCACCTGACATTGTTATCATCAGGATGTCTGTCTTATATCATTAGATTCACTAGTTATACCCGTCACCTGACATTGACATCATCAGGATGTCTGTCTGACAACTTCAGATTCACTACTTTTACCTGTCACCTGACATTGACATCATCAGGATGTCTGTCTTATATCATTAGATTCACTAGTTATACCTGTCACCTGACATTGACATCATCAGGATGTGTGTCTGACAACTTCAGATTCACTACTTTTACCTGTCACCTGACAATGACATCATCAGGATGTCTGTCTTATATCATTAGATTCACTACTTTTACCTGTCACCTGACATTGACATCATCAGGATGTCTGTCTTATATCATTAGATTCACTAGTTATACCTGTCACCTGACATTGACATCATCAGGATGTCTGTCTCATATCATTAGAATGGTTTATGCATCTGTCAATAAAACACATAATTGTGCTGTCAGGGTATAGGAAAATGAACAGTACAAATGTTAGCACAATAAAGAACATACAATGGTTGCTGCCAAGATCCCTGTGGGAGTACTAAGGGACATTGTTCTTAGGTCCAGTTGGGTTTTATTGTCAAAGATTCTCTATTGCTATGTTACCCAGGAATCTCCTGTAGGAGAATTTGCTGGCACTGTTAGTGTAGAAGGTCGGCTTTTCTCAAAATAAACATGTGTTGTTTGCTTTCAGAAATTTGTGTCAGAAAAAGACAAGAAAATTGCTGAGTTGGAAGGAAAACTGCGAGAAACCAGCATTCATTATGATGTAAGTTTAAACCATTAATTAGGAACGTGATATCTCCATAAATATTGAATATATATATGAAATATCTTATCACAACCTAGTGCTTACAGCAAATCAGATTATCAGTTTGGCAGATAACATAGATCTGAACTCATCAGTTCAACAGTTTGGTATATAACATAGATCTGAACTCATCAGCTGAACAGTTTGGTAGATAATATTGATCTGAACTCATCAGCTCAACAGTTTGGTAGATAATATTGATCTGAACTCAGATCTGAACTCATCAGCTCAACAGTTTGGTAGATAACATTGATCTGAACTCATCAGCTCAACAGGTTGGTAGATAACATAGACTTAACTCATCAGTTCAACAGTTTGGTATATAACATAGGCTTAACTCATCAGCTCAACAGTTTGGTAGATAACATAGATCTGAACTCATCAGTTCAACAGTTTGGTATATAACATAGATCTGAACTCATCAGCTCAACAGTTTGGTAGATAATATTGATCTGAACTCATCAGCTCAACAGTTTGGTAGATAATATTGATCTGAACTCATCAGCTCAACAGTTTGGTAAATAACATAGACTTTGCTCATTGACCTCCCTGTGTTGTCTTTAGGTCTTTACTCAGTTAAGTTAATAAGTTGTATATTGTTACAACTAAAATTTCAACCTGCGGCCTGGAAGCCATCTTGAAAATCATTTTAAAGCTACTTTTTCTGCATAGGAAGTTAATTAAGACAGAATTCTCACTGATGAGTAGTGTATAATGATGGTCCATGATATAGTCCTAACTGAAATTTGAATGCTTCTTCATACATGGCGACAATCTTGAAAGTCATAGTATAGCTACTCTCCTATTCAGAAAGTTTTCTCCATGCAAGACTTAACTTATCATTACTTAGACTGGTCTCAAGATCAAACAAAAATCATAGCCATGATAAGAATGGCAGTAGAGCTGATGACGTATTGACTGTTTCATTGACGTTTTAACATACCTTGAAGATGTGAATGACTGGATTTTAAGAAAAATGTGTTTGCATTTTTCAGGGACCTGTCTGTTCCTCTGAAGGAGATGCACTCAAAGCATGTCCCATGCCTACCCAAGGATCTCTGTCAAGACTACCACCTAGCATGATGTACCCTACAGGGACCATGCCAATGTATGTCCCTCTGGTGTACCCTCACCCAAATCGTCAATATGTCCCTGGGGTTGCTCCACCTCAGCTTTCTTGCAAGGAGCATAGACCTTTACAACGTCTAAGATATCCACAGCCAACCATCAGTCCCCTGCAGCCCAAAGATGTTGAAAATCAGTCTGACCCACCGAAACATCTGCCAGCACCCTTGGTCCCTGAGCGCCTTCACACAGCCAAGGTGGCAGCTGTCCTGCCTACCCATAGTAAGTGTGTTGTCACAGATTGACTATGTCTTTGTCAAACCATAGTAAGTGTGTTGTCACTGATCGACTGTGACTTTGTCTAACCATAGTAAGTGTGTTGTCACTGATCGCCTGTGACTTTGTCTAACAAGTAAGTGTGTTGTCACTGATCAAATGGGTTTTTTCGATGTATCAAATTTTTTGTCCGGTCCTGAATTTTCCTATGTATTACTACAAACTTACCCCCTTATTAATCGAAGTTTTATAAATAAAACTTTTCGATATATCAAAGTTTTAGTCACGGACCATAAGCTATGATGATATAGTGATTGACACCTCATGATTCGAATAACACATTTACCTGCACTGTACAGGTATTTTGGCCCAATGACAAAATTTCACACATTTCAAGAAAGAGTGCTAATTGACAATGGTATTAAGATAGGCCACTATCATTAGCTCTGTGTTACGAGGTTAATTAATGGCTGGACACTGAATAAGATTTAATTGCTTAATTACAAGCCATGATATTTAATCAAAGAGAATGGGATGTTGTGTGCTATTCATCACCACCATTGTGGTAATGGCATTTAACTAGGTCTAATTTACGGAATTTTGAAAACAATTGGAGGAAATCCTATCACTTGTTTGCTGATTTTACTCATTCCCAAAACGTCACCTTTTAGATTTAAGAATAAAAACATGAGAAACAGTGATTTATCAGTCAATTTTACATTCTCTGATCGATTCAGGCTAGTTGTTGTTAGAACATCGACAAACACTCTTGTAATTTCTATGACCGAAGATGTGTGATGTTAGTGCTGTTCTTTCTGGACAGAATACATTATGATATTAATTTGCTTGCATTTAAATTCATTAGTGTCTATAATGTTTATGTATCAGTCTTAAAATAATAACTGTAACATGTGATGACCACTTTGATGCTGCGTATTTTATTCAAAATTGACCCGTAAAATGCATTTACAGTTTCACATGAAGGATCAATTTCTATATATTTTTCTATGTATGCATCTTTTCATTTAATCTTGTGTTTTGGTATTTGTTGTGTTTGTTCGGGTAGAAATATTGTGTCATCATTTACATGTATAAAGTATATATAAATATATAGCCATGAACTTGAAAAATTCCATATAACCCAACATGCATGATTCCGAGTCTCCATGTATCAAAGTTTTTTTGGTAGTTCCTTGAACTTCAAAACATCCAAGTCTGACTATATTTTCATTATTTTTTCTTAAATGTTTCAGACAATGAAATTTTTTTTAACACTTATCAAATGCATTCTGAAAATATAATGTCTTTATTATGGTTTAAATGTAGGTGAAAATTCTGTCAGTTGTTAGCCATCAATGTCTAGTTATCTTCTAAGTTGACTTTCATGTCTGTTTTGAACTAAAACTGCATCATTTCCTACCAAACTCACCTGTACACATAAATGAGATGCATTTATTTTCATAGACCTGCTTTTGTAATTTTAGTTACCATTGTGAAACAAATAGTAATTAACTGCTATGTTAATAAAAACTCAAATGTTCTTGATATGTTTTCAGGTGAGCTGATGGCTGATATTGAAACAGACACTGTCATTCCTTCAGCACCACCTACATGTGGTCAACTGGAAGACAAGTAAGCTGAACTCCAGATGTATCTGTAGGATTACCGAGAGTGTGTGAAGTAGACCTGGTGTGTGTGTGTAGGATATCTAGCGTGCATGTAGAAAACCTAGTTTGTGTGTAGGATATCTGACGTATGTGTAGGGTCCCTGGTGCGTGTGTAGGATACCTATTGTGAGTGTAGATACCTGGTGTGTGGGGAGGATACTTGATGTGAGTGCAGGGGATACTTGGTGTGTGTGGAGGATACTTGATGTGAGTGCAGGGGATACTTGGTGTGTGTGGAGGATACTTGATGTGAGTGCAGGGGATACTTGGTGTGTCCATCATTCTGTTCTTCCTTTCTTGTCCACAGTATAACTTTGCCTTCAGTAAAGACAATATGCAGTGTATCAGTGTTAGAGCCTGCAACCCCTTAAATTATTGTCCTTTTTTCAACTTTTGTGTCATGAGTATAGCCTTGTTTGCATTAAAAATAGGCTCATGAAATTTTGTGTTTACATTGGTCTTACTAAGATTATGTGCAGTATATGAAATTCAAGGCCTGCAGTCCCTTAATTACAGAGTTATTGCCCTTTGTTAAAATTCTGTGTCCAATTAAGTCGTTTTTGGAGAGCATTCATCAGTTTGACTGATACTCTGGTTTCTATAATCCGTTTACCATATTGCTACACTATTTTCAACTTTAGTGTTTGTGGATTGATTCCTTAGTATCTCGTACACTACGTACATCAGTGCTAGTATGCTTCATACTGGTCATTTGTCTGATGAAGTTGACCATGTAATGTCACACTTAAATCTTCTACTGGTAAGAACTTCAATTCTATTGACATTACAACCTGGCTCCAGTTTCAGAAATAATCCTTATCTCAAGGAAATCTTAACTACCATATAAAAGCATTACATAAGTTGAGGAAAAACTTAAATTGAGGGAAATTTATTTAACTGAGAAAATGCTTTCTATGGGCAGTTTAAAAATAAGGAAAATTCCTGAATATAAGGAAGATTAATAAAACCGGGGATACAAAAAATTATGTTCTGACCGTTTTAAACTTCTCAAGTTTCACTGGTGCCATTGAGATGAAAATTAGTGGCAATGTTAAGGAAGGGAACTCATCAAAGTGTTGGAATTTTTTAGCCTTGTCAAAAGTTCCAAAATGTAAGTCAGAGTGGCCATTTTGTAACATGATTGCGCAATCATGGTTTTCCTGAACAAAACCTATTTTTAATTTCTTCTGTAATTCCACTAATGACATTGAGCTGAAACGATCCTGAGATGGTGCAGACCAAGTGTTGTTATTTTTCTGATCAGTCCGAAATCCAATATGACCAGCATGCCACCATCATGAAAAGTTTATATAAATCTTCTCAAGTTCCACCGGTGCCATTGACCTGAAAATTGGTGGCGATAAGATGGAAGGGAAGCGGATAAAAACCTGAAATGGCCACCATCTTGAAAACACATTTATACCATTTTGTAACATGATTGCACAGTCATGGTTTCTCTTAAACTGAAGTGAAGAGTGTTTTTTGTCCTTACTTCTTAAATATTCTGAACTGTTCTAATCAATTAATTGTTCCTACTACTACTTTTATTACCATTGTATCATATATCTGTCTTTATAGCAAGACGACCATTAAGGCCAATGGGTCTCATGTACATCAGAATTTGTTTACTTTCTATTGAAAGTCACTAAAACTTGGTTCAAAACATTAGTATAAGATGACTGTTTGATGTTATGCACATATTTACCCTGGCTGACCCCTAAGGGGTTGATAGGTGGGGCCAAAATCATAAAGATTGACTCTAATGTAAAATATCTGCTGAAGATCCAGATAAAGTAGGCATAAAATCAAATAATATTCATGGATGGAAAGGTCCTAAGTGTGTGTCCCATAGGATGTCACTTATTATTATGCACATATTACATTAGCATTGCATATACAGTGTAGATCAAATCATCTTTTTTTTGTTGATATGAGAATATATTCTTTGAAATATGTTACAAAAATAATAACAGTATCTGTAACACACAACATCTTCTGATAATAATTTATTTTTACGACTAGATTTGAGGATGCCATTGGAGAAGGCATGAAGATTTGCCCCGTCTGCAGTGAATCATTCTCAGCAGATATTGATGCACAGAATTTTGACGTTCATGTTTTGGGACATGTTGGCAAAATCTGTCCAATCTGCCAGAAGCTGGTGGAGAATGCTAGTGACAGTGATTTTCAGTACCATGTCAACAAGCATCTGGAGGAGCAAGATCAGGAGACAAATTAATCACGGATCTACATTGATGTCATCAGTTATCAAACAGTAAAAAGGAAATGAACCTTTATTTTACATTGTTTACAGTGTACAGATTTGCTTAATTTTCAAAAACATTTTTCATAGTGAAATTAATTTGTCTGTTGAATATTTCTGTATCTTTACAAGAATATACAATTATCTGGGGTTCTCTGCCAAAGTTCTATATCAACGATATGTTATATTACCATATGATTGGACTCGTTATTTTGTTTACATTTTTCGTTGGGACGTATATGCTGGAGTAATGAGACATATATGCTTTAGTGTTGGGACATATATGCTGCTTATAATCATAAGGTGTGGCACACCATCCCAATCTCTTTGACCTTTTACTGTGAAAAAAGCTATTTAAGTTCTGATGAGTCAGTTTATCTAACTGATGTTTCATTGGATAAGTTGTACATAATTGTACATAACTCAATGCATGGTTCAATGCACAATACACAAAGTAGTTTGTGCTCTTCAGGAAGCTGAGAAATAGATAGGTTTCTGCTGACATGGTTGTATCCTTGAGCAAGACACTTTACTTTGGATGGCATGTGACAGGCCTCCTTCAGCTACTTTAAGAAGACCCTGCCTCAAAATGTCACTTGCTGTTCAAAGGGCAATAAACCAAGCAAATAAACAAGTAAGAAATAAACAGTTTGTAACATACCACATGAACCCAAGGACATATTTTGTTCTTATTCACATTATTGCATCAAGGTCTACCAAGGCTTAGATTTTGTGATCATCTGTCAAGGTTAAAGGTCAAAGGTCACCCATGACCTCTTATGAAATAAAAAAGCATGTGTACAAAATATTTTATTGACCCATCACCATCAGTAGATTAAACCTCTTTAGATTGAGATCAGAAGAAAAAGGATTTTGGGCGGGGGGATGTTATATCTTTTCTATGTGAGCCCATATTCCCTTTGTTTATGTTGGATAAATCAACTGTATATAAGTCTTTGCTTAAGTCAGTTTTGTGATATCGCCTCACCAGATCAAGGAATATTTAGTTTGAGGCTTGTATATAGATTGTGATTTTGGTGGTTTTTATCATTGTGGGAGTGAACAGATAACAGGTAATTCCTCCCTTTTCTGTGTATTGTTATGAACTGTTATTGTTTGTTTTTTCTCACTTGATCCAAAGGACCAGTGAGATTATGTTATGGTGTGGTGTCTGTCGTCCATTTGCCTGAGGAGCAGGGCCCAAATGGGAATATTTGGTAAATTTTTGAAAATTCTTTTTCTTTCTTAGAAATACAGGATTCGGTCAAAATTTGGCATTTTCGGGTAAGGGGAATTTTTTTTTTATGAATACTGGATCTGAGCCCCATGGCCTAGGGCAGGAGAGATAGATCCAATAAGGGAAATAGAGAAAATTCTTTAAAATCATGTTCCTGTAGATTTTCAGCATTTTCGGAAGAAGGGAAATCAGTTTTAGGTAAACGATGGGTCTAGGACACTTGGGGCAGGAGAGGTTTGGCCCAATAGGGGATATTCTTTAAAATCCTCCATCTTTGTAAGAGTGGTTGTATTTTGCCCAGATTTGATCTGAAGCATCCTTGGCAAAATGAAAATCAATTATTTATAAAATTTGGTTTTGACCACCTTCGGGCAGGAGGGGTGTGGTCCATTAGGGGAAGTAGGGCAAATTCTTTAAATCATTCTTCTTCTTTTGGAATGCTTGATTCTGTACCAATTTGTTCAGAGACATGCTTTTGTGAATGGGATCAATTTTGTATTTACATTGGGTTTGCACCCACTTGGGATGGGTGGGGCAGGGCTTAATGGGGATATAGAGAAAATTCTTTGAAATCCCACTTCTGTTGGAATGTCCAATGTTGTTTAGATTTGATCTGAAGCATCCTTGGTGAAGAGAACTTCTGTATAAACATGGCATCTAAATCTCTTGGGGCAGAGATGAGGGGTCTGATAGGGAAAAGAGATACAGGATAGGTAATTAAAATATTTTTCCTTTAGTTTAAATGAATCAATTTCAACAAAGTAAACCAGGTGAGCAATACAGGCCCTAGGGGCCTCCTGGTTTTTTTTTAAGATATAGTTATCAGACTTGTCAGCATGAAAACATGTCTCTTATTTAACCTTATATGACTCATGCATTTAGTTTAACAGTTTAGTACAGTTGATCATGAACCAATGGTTCACATATTTATTTCATATATTATAATTTTAAATTGCTGAATATTGCAAACAAATATTCTATTGCATGCTAGCTCTGTAAGTTATGTATGCAATACAAATGTATATACATACTCTCCTGTTTACTGCAAAAGCTGGCATTGCTCCAAATTTAATTACTTTGAGCTAACACTAGTCTGGACAGCTGTGAAATTAAACAACTATATATAGATTAATTCAGGGTTTTTATTTTTTAATGAGATTGAATAAGAAATATCTACAGTAGATAGAACAGGAATTTTGAAGTTATGTAAGTCGCTACAATGATGGCATCATAAGGGACATATTTACTGTATTCTTGTTCATTTATTTCCATGTAAATATACGAATACATGATTAACAGAAAAGAAATACTGTATTGATTGGAATGGAGGACCAATTCATCTTGTCTTTTGGAGACCTTAGATCCCCCTGAACTGGGCAATTGGTATGTTGGATTTTAATTACCTGGTACCATGCTTGCTCTAAATTAAACACTTTCAAAGTCAGTTTTCAAATTGCTTCTAAGAAGCTACTCACTATTTAGTCTGTGTTTACTTAAAGGGTAATTACATGGAAATTTGTTCAATGTGTGTTGCTCCACCATCAAATTTGGAGCTACGTCCCTTTAGACATCCAGCTGTATGTAGTCATTGCTTTTGTCCTTTTTTGTGTGTATTTTCTCTCTTTTTTTTTAAAGGGGGAGAGGGGAGGGCTATTATTAATTCAACTGGTCCAAAGGACTGATGAGCTCATGCCATGGTGCTCCGATCATAGTCTGTCGTCTGTGTGTAAACATTTTTAGTTCACATGATCTGAAGGACTTGCGTCATAACACAGGCATCTGTCTTCTATTCATCTGTCAACTTTTCTACAAATCTCTGCTGGTCATTAGGGACTGAGTGAATTTTGATCAAATTCAGTCTTAAGCATCATTGTGGGAAGCAGAATGATTCTTTAATAAATAGATAGGTCTATGCTTGGGTGAAGGGGAACCAAACCAGGTGAGCGATATGAGCCCATAAGGCCTCTTGTTATATTTTTATTCAGCGACACAGACCCTATAGGCTTCTTGTTCTTGTTAATGTACCTGGACACAATCACATAGATCGTTTGGTTACTGTAAGTGAACACTGTCACATAGATGGTTTGATACTATTATTGGACACTGTTAAGTAAACACAGACAGTTTGATACCATGAGTGGACGCTGTCACATCAATGATTTGTTACCGTTATTGGACACTGTTAAGTGGACAGTCCAGACACTTTGATACCATGTGTGGACACTGTCACACAGTTGCTTGTCGCCGTAAGTGGACACTGTCACACAGATGCTTGTCATTGTAAGTGGAAACTGTCACACAGAATGTTTGTTACAGTAAGTGAACACAGTCACACAGATGCTTGTCGCCGTAAGTGGAAACTGTCACACAGAATGTTTGTTACAATAAGTGGACACTGTCGCACAGAATGTTTGTTACAGTAAGTGGACACGGTCACACAGATGCTTGTCGCCGTAATGGAAACTGTCACAGAATGTTTGTTACAGTAAGTGGACACTGTCGCACAGAATGTTTGTTACAGTAATTGAACACTGTCACACAGATGCTTGCCGCCATAAGTGGAAACTGTCACAGAATGTTTGTTACAGTAAGTGGACACAGTCACACAGATGCTTGTCGCCGTAAGTGGAAACTGTCACACAGAGTGTTTGTTACAATAAGTGGACACTGTCGCACAGAATGTTTGTTACAGTAAGTGGACACAGTCACACAGATGCTTGTCGCCGTAAGTGGAAACTGTCACACACACTGTCGCACAGAATGTTTGTTACAGTAATTGAACACTGTCACACAGATGCATGTCATTGTAAGTGGAAACTGTCACACAGAATGTTTGTTCCAGTAAGTGAACACTGTCACACAAAATGTTTGTTACAGTAAGTGGACACAGTCACACAGATGCTTGTCGCCGTAAGTGGACACTGTCGCACAGAATGTTTGTTACAGTAAGTGGACACGGTCACACAGATGCTTGCCGCCATAAGTGGAAACTGTCACAGAATGTTTGTTACAGTAAGTGGACACAGTCACACAGATGCTTGTCGCCGTAAGTGGAAACTGTCACACAGAATGTTTGTTACAATAAGTGGACACTGTCGCACAGAATGTTTGTTACAGTAAGTGGACACGGTCACACACTTGTCGCCGTAATGGAAACTGTCACAGAATGTTTGTTACAGTAAGTGGACACTGTCGCACAGAATGTTTGTTACAGTAATTGAACACTGTCACACAGATGCATGTCATTGTAAGTGGAAACTGTCACACAGAATGTTTGTTACAGTAAGTGAACACTGTCTCACAGATGCTTGTCATCGTAAGTGGAAACTGTCACACAGAATGTTTGTTCCAGTAAGTGAACACTGTCACACAAAATGTTTGTTACAGTAAGTGGACACAGTCACACAGATGCTTGTCGCCGTAAGTGGAAACTGTCACAGAATGTTTGTTACAGTAAGTGGTCACACTGTCATTGTAAGTGGAAACTGTCACACAGTAAGTGAACACTGTCACACAAAATGTTTGTTACAGTAAGTGGACACAGTCACACAGATGCTTGTCGCCGTAAGTGGAAACTGTCACAGAATGTTTGTTACAGTAAGTGGACACAGTCACACAGATGCTTGTCGCCGTAAGTGGAAACTGTCACAGAATGTTTGTTACAATAAGTGGACACTGTCGCACAGAATGTTTGTTACAGTAAGTGGACACGGTCACACAGATGCTTGTCGCCGTAAGTGGAAACTGTCACAGAATGTTTGTTACAGTAAGTGGACACGGTCACACAGATGCTTGTCGCCGTAAGTGGAAACTGTCACAGAATGTTTGTTACAGTAAGTGGACACAGTCACACAGATGCTTGTCGCCGTAAGTGGAAACTGTCACAGAATGTTTGTTACAGTAAGTGGACACAGTCACACAGATGCTTGTCGCCATAAGTGGAAACTGTCACAGAATGTTTGTTACAGTAAGTGGACACAGTCACACAGATGCTTGTCGCCGTAAGTGGAAACTGTCACAGAATGTTTGTTACAATAAGTGGACACAGTCACACAGAATGTTTGTTACAGTAAGTGGACACAGTCACACAGATGCTTGTCGCCGTAATGGAAACTGTCACAGAATGTTTGTTACAGTAAGTGGACACTGTCGCACAGAATGTTTGTTACAGTAATTGAACACTGTCACACAGATGCATGTCGCTGTAAGTGGAAACTGTCACACAGAATGTTTGTTACTGTAATTGGACACAGACGGATGTTTTGTCACAGAAAGTTGACACTGACACACATGTTCAGATGGTTTGTCACATCGAGATAACACTGATAAACAGTTTGACACCATTATTGGACACTGTCACACCTGTAGACAGTTTGTCACCGTTATTGGACACTTTTATACACATGGTTTTGTCACCATAAGTGGACACTGTCACACATGTAGACCACTTGTCACCATAAGTGGACACTATCACACATGTAGACAACTTGTCACCATAAGTGGACACTGTTACACATGTAGACAACTTGTCACCATAAGTGGACACTGTCACACATGTAGACAACTTGTCACCATAAGTGGATACTGTCACACATGTAGACAACTTGTCACCATAAGTGGAAACTGCCACACATGTAGACAACTTGTCACCATAAGTGGACACTGTCACACATGTAGACAACTTGTCACCATAAGTGGACTCTGTCACACATGTAGACAACTTGTCACCATAAGTGGACTTGTTAAAGTTTGATATAAAGGCGATTGAATTTTATGACATTTTGTATATTCAAAACCTGAAAAGTGTTTGCAGGAAGTTTGAAATTGTTCTTGATATTGTGGTGTGCTTTATGTCTATTCATTGTGTAAAAACTGACTGTGATAATTGGTGTGAGGTACTTGTATCATACAATAAAATATTATAGAATCTTTCTTTATTTGCCCTTGTTTTTTTTCAAGTTTTTCACCTCCTTAGGTCTGAAATGAAACTTTAAATGCTACCACAGAGTACACTGAGTATACAATGTGTTTGTGAGCTGTCTAGTGCTACAGGGTACCAATATGTTCCCTGTCACTGTGGTAGGTGTCCGATTTAGAGTCCTTGCCCAACAACCACAACTATGGTTATAGAGTATATATCTAAACTTTTCTAATCCATATGATAGGTTATTTCTCACCAGTGTTTGATATTTGCTATTTTCACCACAAGGTTGCATGTTGAATATTGAACCGACAAAGCATTGTATACTTTAAATTTCCTTCTCTACAATGGTAAAAAGTTAATAAACAAGATGTGTTCCAGTTTTGGCATGGTATGGTGAAATTAACCATTATAGGGTATACATATTTTGACCAGGATAACATTTTCAACTACACCTGAAAAACCACTGCACACACTTCAGTAATTTCCTTTTGATTTAGGGATTTCTGAAGTTGGTTTCATGATTAGTTTCAACATTTGGAAAATTTGTTAGCATACCTATTTCCTGTCAACGGTAAATGCCTGTTTAGTCCGTGAAAATTTCTTCATTCAGGATTGTAATTTTATACCCGAAATAGGGATTTGGCTTATATCTGAATCTTGAATCGTGGAACCTCCTAGGTGATGGGGGAAACAAGCAAAAGATCCCAGAATGGTTTTTTTGCTCACCTGGTTTTCTGATCAAACTAGTTTGAAGGACAGATGACAGATCATGGAAGTCTCCATTATCTGGTTTCTCTCCATTATCTGGTTTCTGTGCACAAATCAAAGATGCATTCTCAACATGGATAAGTTAAAAATATCAGGATGCAGCAAATTTCATGTTGAAGAAAATCACAAACAATACATAAATTTTCAGAGGATCCATTAGTTTTATTGGGTATCTTTTATATAGTGATAACAATGTTTAATAAAACTTTTTAAAATACATTAAAACTACAACTGCAAGAAATGATTCTTCCTCTGATGTCACATTACATGATTATCTCAGCTGAGGTACAAATTAATATAAATTTACAAAAAGAATAAGAGGTAAATCAAAAACTTCAAAAATTACTTATTATTAAAACTAATTTATAGATAGGCAACTTGCTTGTATGATTCAAATAAAACCTCATTTACATAAGTTATATCATAAACAACAACCATTCATCATTCTTTTTCATATCCAGCCATGCTACTGAGCGGAATCTCATGTGAGAGTGGCTCAGCTTCTAGCAGCTCCCAAACAGCCCGTGAGTATTCAAAGGGAGATTCTTCGGATTTGAGCTTGAAACCTAGACTGTGATTCATACTTTCACCTTTAGATTTCTCAAACAAAGCAAAGCTATGTTTAAAGGCGGGAACTTTATTTTTCTCATTAACAGCACGACTATGTACCATGGAGTGACCAGAGGTCACAACTTTGACCCCTACTGAATGTTTATGAACGGATATGTCTGTTTTTTCATCTATTCCCTTGCTATAATCCCTGATTTCTGAGGTTGTGACCTCTTCCATACATTTACTGTATTCCTTAGGTTGTACCTCCGTCTCGTTACGCATACCAGATGTATATTCATGTACATCACTTTGCCCCTTTTCATGCATACCACCCATGTACTTAAACACAGATGTCTGCTTTTTATTGTTAAATCCTCCTTGGTACCTGCTTGTCTCACTGAAGCCTCGATCATCCATGCTGTGACTGTAATCCCTTGTCTCTGTCATACTCACTTCATGCATTCCATTTTCATACATCTTTTTTTGGACATCTGTCTCCTTGTACATTGTTTCACTGTATTCAAAATTTTCAACATCTGCATCATGGTATAGTTCATTGCTGTACTCAAAAGGCTCCACCTTTGTCACTAGATCCATACCACGAGAATGTTCAGTCACATTGGACTCCGATTTATGATGCATTGGTTTTGTATACTCAAAATTGACAGTTTCTTCATACTCCTCAATAGCTCGTTCATATTGGTATGGATCATGAAAAGTCACCTCATGCATTGCCCCAGTAAATGGCACTGGTTCCACATCGGTCTCCTCACGAATAGCCTTACTGTAGTCATGAACAGGAATCTTTGTTTCTTCAACTACACCCATTGTATCATAATCGAATGGTATAATTTCTTCAACATTATTTATATGCCCACTGTACTCCTCATGTTCTATGGTCTCCTCCAAGTAAATAGCACGGCTATATTCCAGCTCATCTTCTATGGTAACATCATCTGGGGCTACATACAATTGACTATCGGAGTCCATTGCTTTTAATTCTACATCCATGATGAAGGTCAAAGGTTGAAACTTTGTATTTGAAAAGCCAAACGCATTTACTTGTACATAAAGCGAATCAGTTCTTAATTTCAAAAAATTAATATTCAAATTGTTTTATGACACTATGACAAGATATCTTTTTACAAACATCATCAATTAATTCAAAACGATTCTTGAATCACAGACTTGGATATAACTATCTGTCTGTGTTGATTGGATTACTGAAGATGACTATGAATCTGGATATCAGGTCAGGAATCTGGATAACTTGTCAGACTTTCTGAAATATATACAATGATACTGTTGTAATGACAGTGCAAAACACAATTCAAAATTTCTTATTATAAACACAATGACATGGTTTCAATGACAAACTCAATTTATTTTATGGTGACAGAGCTGACAGTGGTACATTGTTTAAACAGATACTTTTGGTTTTTACAAACAAGAGGCCCATGGGGCCTGTATGGTTCACCTTGTTTGGTTTGGTCAAAACTGCTTATCTAAACAGAACAAGAGGGATTTAAACATTTTTGCCAGGGGAGTCAGACCTTTTATTTATACAAAATTAAATCTGTTCATTCCAATGATGCTTCAAACCAAATTAGCTTTAACTTATAACCTTTATCACAACAAAAACAGAGACTTCCTAGCTGTTCTTCTATTATACCTACTTGACCTTGCCCATCTTCAGAACAAATCTGGACAAAATCCTTTGATTTCTAAAGGAGGATTTAAAAGAACTTGCTGTGTTTCCCCTATTGGCCCCTTTCTTCTGCCTCAGGGCACCAACCCCTAACATTTATACAAAACTGATTTCCCAAATAGTGAAATAATCCTGGCATTCCTATAGAAGAGTGATTTTTCAAAAATTGCTCCTATATTGGGCTATGCCCCTTCATTCCCAGGGACCCAGCTCTAGATGCACTGTTTATACAAAATTGATTTTCCATCAACTAAGGATGATACAACCCAAATTGGGACAGAATTCTAGCATTCCTACAGAAAAGAAGAATTTTGAAGAATTGGCTCTGTTTCCCTCATTAAGTCCCACCCCTCATGCCCAACGGAGCTGAGACCAATAACTTAAACAAAACTTATTTCCATTCACAAACAGATGCTTCAAACCAAATTGAGGCAGAATCTTATCAATTTGCTTTATTCCCCATTTAGGTTGATATGTCCCATCCCTCTGGCCCAAGGGGGCCGAGACCGTTTAATACACAATTGTTTCCCCTTCACCCAAGAATGCTTCAGATCAAATTTGGGCAAAGTCTAATGGTTCCTACAGAAGGAGTAGGATTTTAAAGAATTTGTTCTATTTCCCCTATTAGGCCCCACCCTTCAAGCCCTTTAGGGTCAAGACCCACCATTTATATAAAATTTGCTTTACTTCCCACAAGGATGCTTTTGACCAAATTTCGTCAAAACCCTCTTCATCATTCATGACTTGTAGCAATTTGTAAATAAAGTTGATGGATGGATACCAGAAATCCACAGTATGACATAAGATCACCTGGACTGAAAGACAGCTGAGCTTATGTTATATCAAGGATGTCCACACTGGTGAGCAAAAAATGTTCTAGTTTGTTGTTTTATTTGATACATGCCTGTTGTATTAATGTAAATGATAACTGAAGTAACACTTAAAGTGACATCTGTAAATGAATAAATAGCTCTAGTCATAGTCTGAATGAGAAATGTTTCTATCATGTACTTTAATGTACTTTTCTATTTTTAAATATGCTTTCTTGACAGCAATGTTGTATTCACCATCCTCCACTCCTGAAATCCAAGCTACAACAAGAAACAGGTTGATACTGCTGTTCAGGATTTTTCTTTAGAATATATTAGATACTGTTGAACCATAAAAAAATCCTACTGAGTAGCTACATATGCTGGCCAAAAACAGTATCAGTGGGAATCTTCACAAGTGCCTCTCCATCGCCTCCTAATGAGACAATTGATGCAAGCTATATGGTAGTAATATATCTTGGAACTTTTTCCATCAAATAACAACACAAGATAAGTAAAAACGTTCAGATAATAAACATTGTAAGTGTTAGACTGATGACAGGGAGCCTTTCTTTGAGCATGATTAACAATGAGAATACTCAAACATCGAACTCCTTGAAGTCTACAATTAACATTCACTTGAAAAATTTGGATATATAGTTCCTGACTAATTGCTTCTCAGCTGAAAAAGATATGGACAAAGAAATCAACCAGATGGATCATAGAGGCTCTCAGGTCTCACAGAAGAGCTTGATGACAAGTCACAAGTACAACTATCAAAAACCATTTTGGCAACTCTATGCATCTGTAGATTCTGAAAAAACCACAAGGAACATATGCAGTCATTTTCAATACCTTTCTATATACTGATGAATATTTGCGTACTCTACAGATAAATGGAGGGCATCGGCAGCAGCATAAGGAGAAAAGCCATGAAACTAATAACAAATGATATAGGTTCGTTATTTCACTACCAAATAAATGCCTTACCTTCACGTTAACTACGCAACACACAACATAAAGTTTGGAATTTAAGACTTGGTTGACCGGAAATCAGCAAGATATTACTGAAATATCTGGGTCGTATCTACATGAATCTCCAGCAGTATTAAATTTCAAAAGTAGGCGTGTCCATGTGTTGCAAAATCGAGACATTTTTTCAACAATTGCGAAACATGAGTATTCTATTGAATAAAACTTCATTTAACTAAATGACATTGAAATACTTACCAGTCAATTTAAAATCATATAATAGATGCGAATCGAAATATCTGGTCAGTTACGTTTCGAACAGATCAATGAACCCATGTAAACATTCCGCCATTTTCTAACTTATATAAACAGAAACGGAACAGGGCAGTATTTCCGGAACAGTTAGTAGAGCTGTATAACCCGGAACAAGGACGTTAAGCTCCAAAGAAGCTGTAACTAACCGATTGTAGTTTATATAGGCCGACACCCCTTCCCCATGGACGGCTTCATAATCAACAAATCGTATTATTTTTATTGAACTAGTGATGTTTTTATTTTTACTGTTAATGGTGACAACATCTCATAATCTAAACGGTTAAAAATGTATTATATTCATAAGCTATTTAACTTAACTTTGGGAATCTGACTGACTGATGACCTTTCATCTACATATAGGTTCTCTCTCCACTCTCTGTAGCATACCGAAATTTAAAACATATGCTTGGAAAGACTGATTTCTGTGCTAAATATTTGAAAAAAATATTCCATTTTGGGTAACGTTCCATTTTTGGTTAGCGTTCTATTTTGGGTAGCGTTACGTGCGTCTTTTTATGTTTCAACCTAAATATGAATTAAGAAAAAATAAAAACCATACTTACTAAGCTCTTTAGTCCAAAATTGGATGCAACAAAACCAAGTCGGCTTAAGAGAAGGGCACAGTTAGCTCCCTAGACATGCCAATAGTATGTTGGAAGACATTACCATCAAACTCGGCAAGGATGTTGTCGATCAGAAACTCGATCATCTTATAATTTCGTCCTCCGTATATTTTTTCTTTAATCTTGACGAATTTTTCACGAAATACACTTCAGTATATTTCACAACCATATAATGTGCTGCCGTTCTCCTTTCTTGAAAAAGAAAGCTCTCATAACCGGAGAATGAAGGCGTGCTTTCAGTTTAGAATGTGTTATGATACTTGATGGCGTACAGAGTTGGAAAATTAATTGTTCTTTTAGAAGAAAGTTTTTTTAGAAGAGGTTGTTGTAAAATGGTCAAAAGCTTTTTAGATTTCTTTAAGATCCACATACTATTATTCCACTTAAAAACGTAACACATATTTGATAATACCAAGAATGGTATTATGTAGTTTGGACAAAGGTTATACGAGCCAGCAATATAAACATTGTTTATAGATTCTTGTGACGTTTAATAATCCAGTATAATTAATGGGCAAACTAAATACTTGTCATTCTGAAGCATGATATTCCATAATGTAAAGCTATTGGACGCCTGTCATCAGGATCGAGAAACACTGATCTATGTTAGTGATTTCTATACATATTTTAAACTGCTAATCGCTTTAAGAATGGTAGACCGAATGGATTTAACCCACTCTGAAAGTGACTCCAACGCAGTATGCTCTCGTTTCAACCATTCTCGGGCATAGTTTTCAACTGAATCCATTAGTACAAGTGTATTTTGAAATTCATATTTCAATTAATGGACGTGGTTTCACGGTATTTAGGACCTTCCATGAAAAGCTCTTGTAGCTTAACATTTTGAATAATGCTTAAATCGCCAGTTACTACGTGCCTAGTTGGACCATACTTATAAGTAGAGATAAAACAAGCTGACGGACGAATATGTCTTAGGTCATCTACATTCAGTTGACGCAGTGTAGCAAAGTACCTTGTAACTTGAGTAACCTTCAGTACCTCCATTTCAGCTTATCAAATGCCAGTCAGTTGGTCTGTTAATGTTAAATCAGGACAATATCTGTCAATTCACGTTCAATCTATCAACGATTGTGACAACTTCTCAATATCGTTCACCACGAGTGACAGCTGCCTTCAGCGCCGGCGCCACAAATTATTGTATCCCGAATTTCAGGCCGACATGTGACTGTGTTGTGCAAGTTAAATTTCCCTTATATTTGTCGGATTGTGATGGAAATTGTATTGGCGAAATCATATTAGATAATCTTGAAATTTTACATATTCCCACTTTGACCGTCTTTCGGAAAGATCGTTAACAGAAGTGCAAATGTATTGTTTACACGTCAAGTACCTTAAAAACAGAGGACAAAATCAACAGAAAAGAGTTTAACTGTGATTGGTGGGGTCGCTGGGTATGATGTAAAAATGCTCTACAAAATAAAGAGTTTCACCATTGATAAGACAGAAAATTGTAAGTGTTACAACTATGTTGCTGAATATTTGGAAAATGCATCAAATATTCTTAAGCCGTTGACGCTTGCTTAAACTATTGCATTGTGTGTGATATTGTCGATAAAGATTGAACCAGTTGTTTTGATTCCAGTAAAATGAGTGGAACTCTTATTTAATGTGTCGTCAGCAATCTATGAATGACTACGTGGAAAATGTGTTCCTGTATCGAGTCTTGGCTAGACTGGGCCATTGATACTATGATGTTGGTAACAAGTGTTCCAATGTTGGCCCCCTTAATGATAGGAATGACAGGCCTAACCTCCAAAACTGAAATTTGTACAAATTTAAGGGTGAAAAAAAAATCACAAATTCTTTTGTTGTAAATAAATGTATCTAAACAAGCATCTGTGATTTGATAACCAAAAGCTGTCTTGAACTATATGTAAGATTATTAAACTTAAAATTTACGGTATTTAGTAGTTCGTCTCAAAATAAAAACCGGATTTGATTATTTAATATTAATTCATGGTTAGTGTGTGAGTTTCTTTTGTTAGTTTATTGTTTGTTTTGTTTCATTTTATTTATGTTTTGTTTATTTGTTTTTCGCTTTCTGTTTCATGTTCAGGTTTACTGACAGGTGTAGGAGTGGAAACAGGCGGAAGAAGTTTTGGTTACATCACCCCTGCAAGTTGGAGGGTCGGGAGAAGATAAAAATCCACATTTAATTGTACATTTAGGCAATAAGAAAAATACTCCACGGTCTTCTAGGCGTACTGTCTTTACATGTCACCAGGGAAACGGAGGAGCTTGTCCTATATCAATTCAATTTAAGTTATACCACTTACTGAGTAAATTACACAAAGACACTAACACTCTTACCATCATACACACTATGTCATTATGTTTAAACATATTTTATTGACAATGACATTGACAATAGGATTAGTCAGTAAGTTTTACCAACTTATGAATGACTTCTCCTACAACATACACATAAACATTTACATAAATATGATCACGTGGTGACATGAAACTATTATAATAGTCATTTTTATGTAAAATGTATAAGTGGACAAAGAATAAAGAAAGAGACAGAGAAATAAGAACAGGGTATGGCATAGGGAAAGAGAAATAGAAAGAGGGATGTAGAATGGGAGAGAAAAAAAAAAAAAAAGGGGGAGAGAGAGAGAGAGAGAGAATTTAAGTGAATCTTCCTGACCTTCCTAGGAATGTTTGGACCGATTTGGCCATTCTAAGGTTATCATCCACAGAGATATTAGAGTCACCATTGCAAAGAATATTTACATTAACAATACCGTCATACCATATTAATTCTTGGTATAGTGCTCTACGTTGATCAGCATATAAAGGACAATTAAAAAAAAGATGATAAGAATCTTCACACGGGTGCCCACATTGACACTCTGGTGAATTTACAAGATTAGCCCTAAAAAGATCATAATTGAGTGGACTTGCACGGTTTCGGAGACGACAGTGGATGATATTTAATTTTCTGGAGCCATAACTAATAAATTGCTTGTGGAGAGTACTATTCACAGACATAGATTTTTGAAGATTTAGCTTGAAAGAATTTAAAGTGGGTGAATTTCTAATATCGTTGTTCAGGTTGTTCCAAAGATTAGTTGCAGAAGGAAAAAAAGAATTATGAGATATTTGTAAACGGAATTGTTGATCTCTCATTAAATGGGCTCGTCTTAAATTATAGGGGACTAAGTTACCAACAATATCAGGTAATAAATCAATAAGGAAATCAGGTGCCAAGTTGTTAACTATCGAGTAAAAGAGGGAGAGCTTCCTGGCTTCTCTTCTTTTTGAAAGAGGTAACCATCCTGTTTCTCTATATAGAAAATCTATTTTTGTGTAAATAGGTAAACCTGTGACTATTCTGGCAGCTTCTAATTGGATTTTTTCTAATGACAGGGAATTTGTTTCACTACAGTTGCCCCATACCTCACATGCATATTCAAGAAGTGGTCGGATATAAGTTAAGAATAATTTCTCTAAATTATGTCTATTCAATATGAGTTTTAATTTACGTAGGGTTGCAATATATTTTGAGATTTTACTAACAATATAATCTACATGTAGGTTCCATTTACCGTCGTTAGAAATAATAACACCTAAGTGTTTATGCTGATTGGTGATTTTGATAGGTATGTTGTCGAAAATGAAAGAGGGGACAAAAGGAAGTTGAAGATTTGAAATGATAAGGGCTTCGGTTTTTATGGGATTGAAGGACATCAGCCAATCTTTAGACCAAGTTTCAAGTTTTCGGAGATCAGATCTTGCTGCGGATTCAATTTGATTTAAATTACTAGAGGAATAAGAGAGGGATGTATCATCAGCGAAAAGTCTAGACAGGGAGATAAGTTCGCAAGAAATATCATTTATGTACATTAAGAAGAAGAGTGGCCCAAGGACTGAACCTTGGGGTACACCGGCATTTATAGGTTTGTATGAAGAAAGTGCATCTTTTATAAAAACTGCCTGTTTTCTTTCATAGAGATAGTTACGTATCCAGAGAAGAAGTTTTCCACAAATGCCATATTTCTCTAGTTTGTGTAGAAGACCTTTATGCCACACTCGGTCAAAGGCCTTCGAGAAATCACAAAAAATCAAAACAGTATGCTCATATTTTTCCAGAGAAGTAATTATTGAGTGATATAATTCAATGAGTTGATGGGTTGTAGAATGGTTGGGTAAGAAACCTGATTGGTACTTATAGATAAGATCATTTTGTACTAAATGATTGTATATGTGT